GACATATTGCTTTGAAGTCCTGGTCCTGGTTGTAGGAACCTGGTGTGGACCCAGATTGGTGAATTTCAATCCCCAGCTCTGGCCTTTACCAGCTGTGTGGCCTTGGACCTGACTCCCCTCAGCTTCCCTTCTGAAAATGAGAGCACCATCCCTACTGATTGTCTCCTGAGGGAACAGAGGGAGGCCCTAGTGAGCAGTAGTAACTCAGAGAAAAGGTTGTAGAGCTGATGCAAATGCCCATCTCACCCTTCTCCAGCTTTATCATTTGGCAAGATGCTTAAACTTTCTTTGCTGCCTTTTTCAAAAAAAATCTTACCTCAGAGTTACTGTAAATATTAAAGAATTAATTAGCTTAAAAAGTTCCTGACACATAGTAAGTACACAATAAACTAAGGAGCCCAGCAATGAATGGATGAAGATACCTACAAAGGGTACAGATTCCAGATCAGCATCCTTCCTTTTGCAGTACCTCCTGAGGGGTCACCCTCATCACATGAAAGAGGAGAGGAGACAGAGGTCTCCTGAGGAGAGCCAGGGAACAGGGACAGTTCAGTGAGATAAGTGCCACCGGACCACTCTGCGCACAGGGGTCTATGGAGACACCAAATCCCATCCAAGTGGACGGAGCCAAGTGTGACAAGTTTCAGGCCTAGTTCTGTCACTCTTCAGATGAGGCACACTGCTGAGCCTTTTAAATGGCCTGGCCATAATTTCCTGTCTGCAACACACCAATGCTAAATACTCCTGGCTATTTCACAGAGGTCTAGAAAGAAAATGGGCATGACGGTGGGTGTGGAGGAACATGGACCGTGCCAGTGAACATCTGGAGATCCTACCACAGCCATTAGTCTGGGGCCCTGCAGAGAGCTCTGGGTTGGGAGTTGGGGTACTGAGACTGAGCCCCTCTGCCTCCATTCACAGTGTCGTCTTGGGCAAGCCCACCTGCTCAGGAACCTCTGTTCTGCTCTCCTCTTTCATATGATGAGGGCATAAGATGACATCAATGATTCTCGAACTGGATTCCAGAATATTCAATCACGAGCATCCCTGCTACAGGGAACATTGACCTAGCCTAGCTACAGGGCTCTAGTCTGGCTCCCTACATCACCAGCCAAGTTACCATTTCTATCTGCTCCACATTTAGAGTTCCAAGTAAAGCTCCTTTGGAAAACAACAGCAACAGGAAAGGATTCCATGACTAAAAATGGTTTGGACTCCTCTGGAGCAGATGACCTCCAGAGTCCCTCCCAGCTCTAAGCTCTAAGCTGGGAAGGTTTGGGTCTATTTTCTACTAAGTTTTATTTAACCAACACATATTCAGCACTTACTACATGCCAGGACTACTCTTAACACCCTACAGATTGTAATATACTTAATCCTCTACAACACCTCCCCACTGCGTGAAGGTCACATGACTGCAGAAATGACTCCATGAGTCAAGAAGGGTCCAAGGAAGCCCTTTCCCCTGCAGCCAGGTCTTCTGACACCTAGGCCAATGACCTCACCGCAGGTCAGGTAGTACTTTGCCCAAACAGAGGAGCAGCCAGGAAGGTGTGTGCAGAGGCCAGGTGTAGTTGCCGGAAGTTTGTGTGTCCAAGGCCCTCAGAGGAGGAGAGGGGATCACTTTGACACGGTCACTTTCATACAAGGCATGTGCCGTGTGGGAGGAAGTGCCTGTTGCCTTAGCAATGTCCAAAGTAACAGGGCCACTGCCTCCTGTAATCCATCCCCAGTCACCATGCTGCCATCGACACCCTGCACCAGATGGCTGCAGATCAGATTTCAGCGGTGGTGGCCAGAGCCCAGGGACCTGGAGAAGGCTCCAAGGTGGGGTGGGGGGTGGGGGGCTCTGACCTCATCTCTAGCCAGCTCATTAGGGAGAGCAGCCTAGGCTTCTGCATCCTGCACATCCAGCTCTCCTGCCAGATGCTAACAAGCTGGGAGGGGATGGGTGGAGTGGCTCTCACGAGCACAAGCTTGGCTCTCTTGCCTATGTCAGCAATTTGGCCGGGTCATGCATACCTATTTGAGGAGCTTTTTTATTCAGATTATGTGTCTTGCTTGGAATTTCTGCCACATGGTGGTAGCCTGCCTCATAAAGCAGATAGAAATGCCCAGTTCTAGAGGTTATTCTTAAGAGATTAGCAAGTATCCTGAACTAGAACATGACTGCAGCAGATGTCAAGATACTAAAGGAAAGAAGTGACATCTTCTTTACCTGGTACAATGCTGAAAGCACAGATTCAAGAATAAGTTGCAATTACTGTCTTCAAGAAGCTCACTGAGGGGCTGTAACTAAACAGCAATAACAAGCCAATGTTCACACCATGGTAAAAAGAAGCATAGCACATCAATCACCTGGTGCCAGAATTATGCTGTGTAACAACAGTGGAGTTCACTGCTCATGCAGCTAGGGCCAGTTGGGGGTAGGTTCGCTTATCTTCTTGGCTTACATGTCTGGCTTGTCTAGGTCTCATCCTATGGCAGGCTGACCTATGTCATTCTCAGAGCCATGGCAGAAGTGTGTGAAGCAGCCGTAGCACCCAACTGTTTGCCCTGGTATACCTTGTGTCTAGATGTCCTCCCAATGCCTTATGCAGTCATAGATGGGGCTTTTGTTGAGGTGGCTGGATCCAGTGTAGGATGCTGAGATTAAGGGTGTGTGATTACTAAATTAGTCCACTTATTTGTTTGGCATAGTTCTGAGTATAAATAATGGGGAGGCCCAATCTGGATGTGAGTGCTACCCAATCTAAAGTCTTCTAGCCTGGATATAATACAAGGGACAAAAAAAAAGACTGCCATGGCTGCTTGCTGCTTGCTTCCTTGCTACTTCACAGCTTTGCTGCTTCCTGCCTTCTGCCTGCCATGAACTGTTTCCCCTCTGCACTGCTCCTCTGCCATGCCACCCTGCCTCGGAGCCAGCCAACTGTGAACTAAAACTCTACAAACTGTGAGCTAAATAAACCTTCCCTCACTTAACTTATGGGTGTTGAGTATTTTGTCTCAGCATTGAGAAAAATAACTAAGACACCCTACTTTGTTTGTAAAGATTCCTGATATCCCATTACCTGAAGAGAGTCCAAAATTAAAATGGAAAGGAGCTCCAAAATCCCATGGTGAGGGGCATGGGTGCAGGGAGGTATAAAGATTTCAGGTTATCAATCTATCAGTTATTACCACAGAGACCAGGGCAGTCAAAGGGAGGAGCTTATCCACCGGCCCCCAGGTGGGCCAGAGAAGTTCCTTGGAGGAGAAGTCTGGGTGAAGCCCTGATAGCCAAGTGACATTTGCAAGTGGAGAATAGAGAATGGAGGAGCAGGATCTTCCCAGTAGACAGAAGGGAGTACACAGAGGGTCCAAGGCAGGAGATTTGTTTAAAAAGCGTTGAGTAGTTTAGTACTGGGAGGTATCTTAGTCACTTTGTCTTTGCTGGGACAAAATACCTAACACCTATCAATTAAAGGAGTTTGATTGTGGCTCACTTTTACAGTCCCTGGCTCCAAGCAGAAATGGCAAGGTGGAAAGGCCTGGGTGAAGCTGCTTACCTCATGGTGGTCAGGAAGCAGAAAGGAAAGGGAGGAGCGGGAGGGAACTGTACCTGTCCGGGTCGTGTCCCTGCTGAACTGCCTCTTCCCCCATTTAGCAACACATTTAGCAACTCAATACCACACCCCCAATCCAATCACCTACTGAACACATGAGGCTTTGGGTGCCATTTTAGATCTCAACCGTAACAAGAGCCATGAAGGCCTTGTAAGAAATGAAGTTATTTGACCATGGTGGTGACCAGGTACCTGCCTTGGAGCGCTTCTCAAAACTAGTCCAACGACCTGGAGACAGGAGGGATGCTGAGCATTTTGGACAAGAAAGAAAAAGAGGGAAGCCATTTCAAAAGATGACTATAACCAAAGAGTGTGGGGTAGCATGGTAGCAGGCAGGGGCTTTGCTTTGGATCCAGTGGGAGATCGGTGTGAGCTGAGAGCTTGAGGCCGTGTCATCCAGGGCACTGAGCAAACAGAACAAGCAGAGCCTGAGGACTGAGGGCAGCGGCTGCAGCTGGGAAGCAGCAGGGATGGAAGGCCTCAGGTTGCCCCCTGTCATTTTGCATAGGGATCGCAACAAGCTTCTCCCCACATTGCTGATAAATAACCCACTAATGATCAGGTTCCTCCCTCCCCTTGGCCGAAGGCTTCTGGAATACTTAGTCCCCTGAATCTGGCTCCTGCTCCAGCCTTGTGGACTGAACGAGTGCCTTCCTCTTCCTGAGGCTTAGTTTTTGCATCTGAAATGGAAGTATTGGACTAGACAATCTTCCAGGACCTTTGTACGCTAGGCACCAGGAAAGTCATGGCCCTCGAATGCCACAGCCAGTTGGGCTGCTCAGGAATTGCCCAGGGAGCCTGTGGGAAGCAGAGATTCTGATTCTGGAAGGTGGAGCCTGAGCGCCTGACTTTTGTGCAGCACGCAGCTGACCCTGACACCTAGCAGGTCTGGCTGGGGACAGCTGCATCCCCAAGACCAGGCGCAGTGGCCCTAAGACAGAAGAGTTGAGGATGCATATGCCAGCTGAATAAGAGTGTGGGTTGGGCCTTCATGCCTAACTGGGTTTCTGTTAGTGTTTGTTCCCGTGTTTATTCTGCTTTGTTGGCATGTGTTTTTAATGAATGACCCTGCTTATCCTAGGATGTTTCTAAGCGCACAACACAAAGGAACCGAGAGAAAATCCCACCCGAAACTTCAAACCCAGTCACAGCAGGGTCCTCACTTTGCCCATCATTAGATAAGCTGTGAGACCAGCAGGAGGGTCCCTGTGTGGAGAGGGCTAGAGATAAGAGCAGGCGCCAGTGCTCAGAGTGGTGGACAGGGGAGAAAGTGTGGAAGTGTTCGCTGCACCAGCTGGGGCTGGGTCCTATACCCAAGCCCAAGGGGAGGAGGGCCACTCCCGGAGGACAGCCAGCCCTGAGCACCGCCCTCACTGCCCTTTCTCCCTTGGCCAGGTGCTGTTTGCCCTGAACCAGACCCTGCTGCAGCACGAGAGTGTGCGGGCTGGGAGCCTGCAGGCACCCTACACCACGGAGGACCTCATCAAGCACTACAACTGTGGAGACCTCAACGCTGTCATCTTCAACCATGACACATCCCAGGTGAGGCTCCTCCACCTGACAGCCTCTGGTTCACCAGCTGCAGAGACTCCAAGCCAGGCCCAAGGGAACCTACCTATCCTCTGCAGCCGTGAGAAGCAGGAGCTATGGTTACCCCCATTTATAAATGGGAAAACTGAGGCTCAGAAAAGGAAAGAGACTTGCTCAAGGCCACACGGTTTATTAGCTACTGAGTTATCGACTTATCAAGAGCAGCAGCGTGAGCCAATCTGTGTGAATCTAGAGTCTGAGACTCTGGATGCTTAGCCTGTGAAAGCAGGGAGGGCTCTGAGAGGTTCAGTTCAATGTCTGGTGAAACTAAGGCCCAAGAAATGGAAGCCCACAGTTATTCTGAGGTTGGACTTGGGTCCAGCCCAGGGCTTTCTACCCAGGTCTAAGTCCTAGAGGAAAGATTATCGCCAAGCCAGTAGAGCCCCACGGTAAATTCCAAACACTTTACCCAGCATTCAATGCCCTCTGGGACTTACCTCAGCCGGTCTTGTCCCAGCCCAGGCCTCCCACCCCACAGGCCTTGCTTGTTCTGGGAACCTGTGAAGGTTCAGTTCTTCTGATGCAGCTATTCCTTTTCTTGCCTCTGTGCCTCTACCCAGGCTCCTCCCTCCCCTGGGTCCCTCCCACTTGGCCATGGTCAAATGGTACCTGCTCTGAGACACCTTCCTGGTCCGTGGATAGACATCTGTGGTCCTGGCTTCCTCTGTAGTGGTGCTTGAATAGGCATGCACGCAAGAATTTAAATTAGGCCAAAGAGGCCACTTCCCTTCTTAGGACATTTCCTGGGCTCAACCTCTTGTCTTCCAGCTTCCTCTTCCCACACACATACCAGCGGCACAGGACTCCTCGCTGTCCCAGGAACCCACCTCACTTGTGTTCACTTTCACACTGACAGCATCCTCTGAACCCATTGTCCTTTCCAGAATCACTCCCTGCATCACTCCACCTAAAAAGCCTCAGTTCAGTGAGGACACCGTCTGAACCGCAACCTGACCCCCACTCCCACCCTCTCATTTCTTTATTATGCTCTACTTTTCCCATGGCCTGGAAGATCCTCCCACATGACGGATGCCTGATATGTCCACTAGAAACTACTTATGGTCTGCTCCCTCCTGCTGGATGAGAGCTTCATGAGGGCAGGGTTCAGGTCTGTTTTATTCATTGCTATCTGCCAACTGGCTAGTCTCAGGCCCAGGTAGGACTGGGTGAATAGTAGCTGAATGGATGGGTGAAATCAGGGTAAATGCCAGGCCCAGTGCTATGCAAAAAGGGGTGTGGTGGGAAACCAGAGAGAATGGTCCTGGTGGGGCTCACCCTCTCCTAGCACCACGCTTTGAGCCTTGTTCGGGGGAGCAGCAAGGCCCTTCTAGAGCCTGTGGCAGGGATAGCTAGTTCAGAGGGGGTCACGTGAGGAGGAAAACCACAGACCTGGAGTTGCTGTTGACAGGAGGAGGGATATCCCAGCAGAGAAAGCCACGCCCAAACAAGCCAGAGACAGGGAGCTGGGGAGGGGCGAGCACTCGCTCATGCTGCAGGTGTGGAGGGTCAGGACCCGGATGTTCTGCCTGTGCCTGCCACCCGCACCCCCAGAATATGATCTCCGAGCACAGGGGTGTGCTGTTCATCTCTGGGTCCTCACTGCCAAGGGCACCTGAGGGCTTGGAACGGAGAATGTGTCAGCGAGCCGTCATGGCCTGAGCCAGTGTAGGCTCCGTGTGCTTGGAGCAGCTTAGAAGGTGAAAGAGGAAAGAGCTGGAGGCCTTGCCAGAGAGGCTCAGGACTGCATGGGCTATGACTCGGCACTGAGGAAGTGAGGGGGGACAGAAGAGTCCTGACACCACAAAAGCTGTGGGATTCTCACCAGTGACCCACGTTGTGGCAAGTCTTCACCCCGCATCATCCACTAGGGGAGGGGCCCCACCAGGGGAGGGGCTGGGGAGCTCTTGGCAGAGGGACCCTGATCCCAACTCAGAATGAGCTGGCTCTGATGGGGTTGGCCCTCAGGGATGCCCTATCCAGGCTCTGACCCTAAGCAAAGAAAGGGAGGCACAGGGTGGAGGTGGCGAGCTCAGATGTTCTTTTAGCTAGAGTGAGGCCCTGATTTGTTCCTGGAAGTCAGGAATTGCGTCAGGGGGCTTGCAGCTGCGTCTGTACCTAAAGTGGGAGAGGCGATGCATGGCTTGGGCTACCCAGATTAGACTAGCAAACCAGGCTGCACACAGGCAGCACAGGCAGGATGGGGCCCCTTGCTGAGGGGCAGCCTGGTCCCAGATACAGGAAGGAGGAAAGCCTGGTGTCGGGGTAGCAGGGCTGAACCCCTGGCTGTGGTAGGGCTGCACCTGCAGCTGGAGGCCTAGAAGTCTGTGGGGAGCTGAGGATATGGAAACTGCAGGGCTAGCCACACTGCTCGCAGTCAGGGAGGGCTTTGCACAGTGACTATACCTGATGAGGGTGCAGATGTGGGTGTCCGAGCCAAGCAGACTGGTGGTGGGGTGGGTGGGAACACAGGATTCCTGAAAACATGATTTCAGGTAGAGACAGGCTGCGCAGGGGTAAGAAAGTGGGAGTCGTGCAGAGTCATAGCAGCAGTGATGTGGTCAGAGAGATGCCTCAGGCTACAGCGTAAAGGATGATGAAGTGACCTTTGGAGACCATGGCAAGACATGCTGGCAACACCTCACACGTAGCCTGCCTCTCTTCCTGGCCCATTCATCTCACCTTCTGAAATGACTGTGCTCTGGCCTCATAGCCCCCAGGTCATGCCACTGCCCATAAGCAGCCCATCCAGAAGCCCCCACCCCCATCCTTGGAAGACTAGCTTGGGTCCCCAGCCAACCTGAGATATGCCTTGTCCAAATTCGCGTACTTCTGACAGTGAGATATAGTTCAGGATCAAAGTAATTCACAGATGTGAAGCCATCTCCAGCCATGAACCTCGACTGTCACGGATCACAGACATGTGATCATATTATCAGTGGCCTCCCCTGGATGTCCCCTCATCATACCCCACAGTACTCTTGTGGGTATCTCTGACCCTCCCCCTGAGCTATGGGCCTCATCAAGGGCAACAGACCCTGTTTCAGGATGCCCTTTGGCCTCTGGCATGACACAGGCCCAGACCCACAGACATTCTCAGCAGGTCTCTGCTGAGTGCCTGTGTAAAGAGAAGGGTTTGGTGATATCTGTGTCATGAACAGACCTGAGCACTTGAACACCAGACCTGGCCCAGCCCTGCCCAGGCATCTCCTCGTCACCCCATCCAAGACCTCTCTCTAGGACCCTGGGGACTTTACATGTCCTCTTTAAAATGTTATCAGGTGTCCTGCACTTAAACTCGTCATGGGAGAGTTAAGCCCCCGACAAGCCTAGTGACATCATTAATTTGCTTCCATCCCAGCCCTGGCTCAAACCCAGGCCCCATGCTTGGCACAGAGCCACAGCCCATTAGCATCAGACCTGCAGAGAATGTCAGCCAGCAGCTGGGTAGCCTAAGGAACCTGAGCGTCTGGCCTGACTCCTTCATGGCTTTGAGATTTTTCAACATTTTGGTTCTTGTCCTTTTCAATGTTTTCAGCTCCCTAAGGAATTAGTGGAGATGCATTTTTGTGCCAGAGCATGTTATAGTCATGAAGCGCAGGGGGGAAGGTCATATTTGTCTACAGGTCTTAGGGGCCCTTGTAAGAGGGGAAAGGGAAGCAAAAGTCTGCCTGCCTGGTCTCTGATGGTTCTGACGGCCATCGATTTGTTATCTCCATCTCCACCCCCATCCAAGGCCACCCTTCACTGGCAGCCTGTGACACTGCAAGGGAAGGTGATGAAGCCAGCTCCATCCTTAGGCCAGTAGTGGCGAACCTATGGCATGTGCGTTCTTTTTCTTTTAAGACAAAAGATGTTAATGTATAGGTTGTTTTTTCTAAACTAAAACCTCAGTATTCAAGTTTAATTGCAGCACGGGCACTTGGCAGTAGGTAAGTGGGCTTTGGTTTGCAGTTTGGGCATCCTCTCTAAAATGTTAACCTTCACTGCCCTAGGCTAAGTGTGTAATTGCTAACATTTCATTCAAGACTTCTATTGTGATATGCACTGTGCTAAGCCCTTTCCAAAACTCATTTAGACCCAGCTTTTCCCCTTGTAGGTATCTTCCCAAAAGAGTTAAAATCATCATTGTCTTAGTCACTTTCCTTGTTGCTGGAATAAAATACCCAACCACAAATTAAAGGAAGAAAATACCACAAATTAAAGGAAGAAAGGTTTATTTTAGCTCACAGTCTGTAGAAGTTTCAGTCCAGTCAGCTGGCTCCAAGGCAAGGTGGCATGGCAGAGGGATGTGGCAGAAGAGAAACAGTCCATGGCAGGGCAGGCAGGAAGAAGCAGTGAGTCTTCTTTTCCATATGTATTCTATCCAGGCAACAAGCCTATTTGTTGGTACCACCCGCACCCAAGGTAGGGCTTCCCATTATCCATGCCCAGAACCATACTAAACCACTCAGTGGACTAAATTTGTTGTTACACACCCTTATTCCATATTCACATGCTCTAGATCCAGCCACATCTGAAAGACCTCACCTATGAGAACATGAGGCTTTGTGGAGACATCTAGGTACAAGCTATAGCAATCATACATGCATACCCATGTTTATAGCAGCACAATTTGCAATAGATTGGAAACAGTGCATATGGCCATCAGTAAATAAATGGATAAGGAAAATATGCTATTTACATATATTGGAGTACTATGCTGCCATAAGAAAGGTAAACTTGAGGCACTCATAGGTAAATGGATACAACTTGAGAACATGATGATAAATGAAATAGGTCAGACACACAAGCTAAAATATCAGACAGTTTCTTATATTATATATATATATATAAAGAACATATATACACAAATAAAGAATATATATATGCAAATAAAGAACAAAATTGAAGAGATAGGAATTAGGGAGTTCAACTACTTCCTCAAAATACAAATTCTATTGTTTAAAAATTATTTCAATATATACACTAATTGGCTTCATTTACATTACTAGTTCATTGAAAAGAAAGTTTGTGTCATCTATTTGTTTCCTTTTTTGTAAGAACCTTTTTGGTTTATGTCTTGTACTCTGAGTAACTACTTTGAAGATAATGATTCACAGTATAATAACTGCTGTTATTCTCTTATTATTTGATTGTGAAATTTTGTCTTATTGTTTTATAAAATAAAAATTTGAGCCCAACTTGGGCGATTAGGAAAAAAAAAAACTCCTTTACCCCTACAATATATTACCAATTACCTTATATTACCAATTTGAAAACTGAGTCTCAGAAAAGCCAAATTACTTTCTAGTAAGGCCACCCAGCTAGTAAGCAGCAAAAGAGGGATTTCAACCTAAGTCATCCCTACCGTCGAACTTGTGGGACCTGCGGAATCCCTCCGCTTCTACTGCCTCTCAGGGCATTCACTCAGCCACTCATTCACTGAACAGATACTTCTTTGCGGTATAACACAGCCTCAAATTGTCACCCATACCAAGGAATGGAGAGAGACCTTCAAGAGGCATGTTTCTACTAATAACTGTCAGAGTCACGGCCTCTCTGTTTCCTCCCCAACGCAGCAGCTTTGGTGATTTCTATAGCTGGATCAAGTCAAGTGTGACCTGTTTTGTCAGGGTTGCCTGTCACCTCTTCCTTAGTAGGGAAGTGACAAGGGTGGTAATGGCACCATTGCTTTCATTTATCTATCTACCGAACAAAAAGTCCCCGGGCACCAGCTCTCTCTTGGTCCATCGGGAACTAGCGGTGCCACTACATACAGCTCTGCAAGGTGTACACTACACAAGCTCAGGAGACACCAGTCAAATTATTGTCTCGTTCATCCAGACAGTGAGCCCCACTTTTCTAACAGAAGCCCAAGGTGCACTTCTTATCAGAAACCCACTGATCCTTGGCCAGCGCACAGCAGATGTCTCAGCCTCTTCGGTCCCATGGGTTCGGCCTTTGCTGAAAGTCGTAATGACGCTGATAGGCTGTGAGGAAAGAGAGGATGCGTTCTCACTGCCGTGGTTTCTTCGGCGGCCCCGTGCGTGTTTTCGAGGAGATGGTGCTGGTGCACCTGGACCTGCCATCCAGGCTGCAAGGCTGAGATGCTGGCAAGGAAGAGCACAGGGAGGGCAGCTGAGGTCAGGAAGGGGCAACAAGACCTTGTGTTCAAATTCCAAGGGCCCCTCATGGCCCTGCCAGGCACTTGGGACCAGAATGACAAAGGCTCCATCCCTGAACTTGGGGAGCCCTCTGCTTAGATCAGTAGCACATCCATGAGGCTGTTGCCAGGCCGTGGGGCTGGGTGTGGGAAGGGGGCGGTGATGGTGCAGGGCCCGGAGCTGAGAAAGCCACTCGGTTCCAAAGCTAGATGTCTAAAAAGCACCATCTTGGGGACTGCCATGGCCCTGAAGTTAGCTTCCAGGAAGGGACTGAGGACTTGGGTTACATCCTGGGAGGTGGAGGAGCCAGGGATGGGTAGATGATAACTTTGACATGGAAAAAACAGAAGGTGATTTCTCCTCTCGTCTCCATAGTGTGGGGCTCACATATTATCTCACTTAATCCTGTGAGAACCTGAGTCCCATTTTATAAATGAGAAAACTAGGACTCAGGAAAGTGAATAACTGACCAAGCAGTGCACAACATGGAATAGGGGCTGAAGCCCGAGTCCACCTGATCCTACCCTGTGGCCTTCATGCTGCTCCAGGCATTTGGGCCAACTCTCCATACCCTCTTGCTTATCTGAACTTCGGCACATACCAGTGCTGGGCTCAGGGCTTAAGGGAGAGGCATTCGGGAGAGGAGTCCCAGCTTCCCTGGACCTCAGCTCCTGGGCACTGAAGTTAAACTGGGCAGACACAGGGAGATGCCTGTGGGAGTCCAGCTGCTGGGGCACCCACCGCTCTACTTGCATGTCCTGGGATCTTCTCCACCCTTGCTGGCCTCATCCATAAAACAGGAGCAGCAGTGCTGATCTCAAAGGGTTTGGGGATGGATGAGAAATACATACACAAAAGGATGCCCCGTCAGCCCAGGAAAGGTAAATCACCAGCTCTGCCCGGTGTGCACCTGGCCGCATCAAGGACTGAAGGCAGCCTCTGTCTTGCCTTTGCAGCTGCCCAACTTTATCAACACCACCCTCCCACCGCATGAGCAGGTGACAGCCCAGGAGATCGATAGCTACTTCCGCCAGGAGCTCATCTACAAGAGGAACGAGCGCATGGGGAAGAGGGTCATGGCACTGCTGCGGGAGAACGAGGACAAGATCTGCTTCTTCGCGTTTGGAGCAGGTTTGGGCCCCTGACCTCACCTCCATCGAGGGCAAAGCCAAATCCCAGAAGAGCGCAGGGCAGCTGCACCGTGCTGGGTGGCAGCTCTGGAGAGGGTCAAGGTTCTTTACTAACTGTCCCTGTGGGCGAGAGAAGTGACCCCTGCCAAGCCCAGAGGATTTCCATGGCTCCTTCAAGCTGCAGGTGGCCACACCCAGCAGAGCCAGGGTCAAAGCCACTGGGCCCTGGGAGGGAAGAGGGACTTCTCTTGCAGCCTGTCTTGGCTCTTGCTCTTGTCACCTGCCATTTGGGCAGACAGGACTTACCTCCTGTCTTGCAGTAGAGGCACATGGAGGGGCTCCAACATGATACAAGCCCATGGGTACAGCCTGGTCAAGGTCACCTCAGAGGGACAGAAAGAAAAACAGTTCTAGGCTCACACTGGAGCTCTCCGTGGCCCACTGTGGCCCCTGCCAAGTCCCTTCTTCTTTCACAGCTTCAGTTTGCTCATGGGAGCAGGAAGAGCTAGGACTTGCTTGGGTCTTCTAGGATTCCAGGAGCTGTTCACATGCAGGTGTCAGAGAAGCGGGGGTCTGGAAGAGCCGGCAGGAGCAGGACCTTGACTGACAACATGGAGAGAGTAGGGCCACTCGCCTGCTGTGGGACAGCTGCCAGAGGCCTGGCATGAGGCAGGAAAGCTGTTCAAGGAAGGACCCCCAAACACCAACCCTCCCTCCTCCTCCAGTTCACTCTGCAGTAGAACAGCCTCAGCCGACCTCCCAGGGGAGCCAACCTGAGTCAGCCTTCTAGGCCTGGGAGGTGCCCCCCAGTTAGTACAGCCACGGAGAGAAGCAGTTGCCGCCCCCACCCTGCCTGCCCCAGGGCCCAGGACAGTCACCTGGGCCAGAGGTCCCTAGAATCAGCTCCCTTCTACAGTCGAGGAAGCTGAGGCTGTAAGAGTGAAAATCACAGCAGTGTGGGCAGCCCTGAACACAGGCCTCTTTTTCCTGAAATGCCACGTCCATGTGCACAAATGCCCGCTCAAGCACCAGGCCAGCCTGAAAGCACCAGGGCCAACTCCAGTCTCTTCTGTCTCTAAAATTCAGTCAGTCGCTGATTGGTCCTGCTGATAGACCACCAGAAAGACCACGCATCCTTCACTCTGTCTCTGCCCCCTGCTGCTGTCCTGGTCCAAGCCTCTACCAGCTCCAGCCTCCAGACTGCTTCCCACACGGGCTGGCAAATGGTGCTGTCTCCCCTTGGGTGGTGGGAGGACAGCCACCGCTTAATCATCACCGCCTTTAGAACTGTGCCCTAGGTTTTGACCTGGTGAGTGAATAAGCGTAAAGGAGTGAGAGAATGAACAGATGAATGAACGCTGAGCACAGCCTCCGTCCTGGCCTCCTCTGGCCTGGTGCACTTATTAGGCTAGAGCAACAGTAAGGTCAGGGCAGAGCAAGCCCAGCTTGGCCCTCAGGGACCCCACCATCCACAAGCGACAGCTCTGGACCCGTTGCAGATCCTGCCTGCTGGTGGCTGCTGCATTTCATAGCTCAACCACACCTGGAACAAATGGCCTACTCTGTGCAGCAAATCTCCCAACCCAGGGACTTCCCAGCCTGCCCACTTCCTTATAGCTTTGGGCAAACTGAGGCCCACTGGGCAGGAGCATAGCAAAGCTCGCTGAGCTGGAGACAGAACCAGGACCAACCCACAGGCTCTGGACCATGTGTTACCATGAACAGGGCACCAAGCCAGCAGAGCAGGCCCGTTAGAGTCAGTACACTGGTCCTGGCACATACACGTCCACACGAAATCTGGGTGAGAGGAGCCCACCCTGCCTGGTTATACAGTAAAGGGCATGTCACTCCCTAGCCCCCACCCCAAGACAGGCTGCAGGATTTAGGTGCAGGGCCAGGCCACACACACCCTCCATGTACTACCACTTGCAGTCAGCCTATCCTTTCCTTGCCCTCCTGTCTGGTGCCTCTCCAAGTCCATCTCAGGGCCTTTCCGGACTACTGAGCAGAGTCCCTGAGGGCTCAGCTGGCCTCCTGCGGCCCCTCTCCTGCTGGCTCGACTGACAGCAGAGCGCTCCCAAGGCTGTGGAAGAGAGGGCGGGTCTACGCTACTAGGAAGACACTAGCTGCCCCTAGGCGTGTGTCTGCTCTCTCTCTCTGTGCTCAAATCAGACTCCGTGGGTATCTCCGGGGAATGTTTTAGGAAACAGAAACAATCTCGCAAGTCTCCCAACACCCACATCCCTACCTCAGCACCTCAGCAGGTGTCCGAGCAGACCCTACACAGTTCTGCCTTCTCTCCACAATCCCAGCTTTGGGGCTGAGCTGAAGCCCTGAAGGCACTGTAGTTCATATTTCCCCCAGGCACCCAGCAAGCCAAAGAGAAACCCTGAGCCTCCCGGCTGCCTGGCTCTTCCAGGGCTTATTCAGACTCTCCCCAACCCACCCCAGCTCCAGAATCCCCAAGAGCCTCATAAAACGGACTGGAAGCTGCAGTCCTGAGTACAGCCCGGCCTCCCAGTGCTATTCTCTAGGGCTTCAGGAAGGAGGGGAAGAGCCTTCGAGTAAGAGGCCTGGATGCAAAGCAAGACTCCTGCTGTCAGCCAGGGGACCTAGGAAAGCTATTCACTTTAAGGCCTCAGTCTGTCATCCATAAAATGGGGCTAATGCACCTGCCTCACTGGATTGTGCTAGACTCACTCATTTTCGATCATGGGGTTAAAATGCCCCTCATGACGCAGTGATTCTTAGAATAAAACCCTTCCTCAGTACTGTTCCAGACTCTCAAGCAACACCACTGAGTGGTTTTATTACAGTATCCGCATTTCCCACATGAAAGCTGAGGTGCAGAGTAGAGAGGGAATAATGCAGGCGGAACTTTTATTTGAACCCTGGCCTCTCGGATCCCAGTCCTGGCATCCTTGCTGTCTACATCTGGAAACGCTGGAGCTGTGTGCAAAGGGGTGTCTGTTTAGCTGACACTTTTCACAGAGAAGCATTCTTCTTAGTGTCTGTGATGGGCAGTGTGGCCTTGTGACGGTGCCCACAGGTGACTCAGCAGGTTCAGAGACAGTTGAGAGGAAAGTGTGAGACTCAGGGCAGGCCAGAGTGGCACTTGGGGCTCAGATGAAGCCCCTTCTCCAGAAGTTGGCGGTGGCCAGTGTGCTAGCCCAGGTGTTCTGGGACGGACAGGTTGGCTCCACGGATAGGGTGTGCTGGCCTGCAGGGAGAGAGGCCCATTCCCAACTGGGCTAGGCGCTGGGATAAGCTGAGCCTGAGCCCCTCCCCCACAGGACCTTCCAGTTCAGCCATTGGAGGGTGGGGAGGTGTCCTTGGCTTTCTTCTGATCTACAAGTAACTGTAAAAAAAGTAACTGTAAGTACATGATGGTAAATTTTTTACAATACATGGTTTTATCTTACATTCTGAAATTATCTCCTTTATAGTGTTTCAAATTAAAACATCCTCTTAAAAAATGACGGTGATAGAAGGCAGAAAGGAGTCTCAAAGTCCTTACTTGGCAAAATAAAAAAACTAATAACTATATTTATCCCCACTTTTTTTTTTTTTTGGTACTGGGGATGAACCCAGGGGTTTTGTTCAGAACCACATCTGCAGCTTTCGTTTTTTATTTTCAGATAAGGTCTCACTAAGTCATTTAGTTTTTGAGCCCAAGCTGGGTTCAAATTTGTGATCCTCCTGCTTCGGCCTCCCAGAAGACTGGGATTATTGGAATGCACCACTATGCACCATGTTTTTCAAGATGAAAAATAATTAACATGCTTGAAGCATGATGGAAGAGTTCAGTAGAATGGTTTAGATTGTTTCATAGGAAGAGAGATGTTTCGAGAAGGCAGGAAAGGAGGGGCCAGAGCTCGGGTAGAACTTGTCCTCGGGTGGCAGAGGGCACTTCCTCACCTGAAACTGAAGGGAGGGAGGGAGGAGGCCAGCAGGCAGGTAGCTTGGTGGTGGGAAGCTGAGCACATTCCCAGCAGATGGCTTCTAATCACAGTGCTACTCTTTAAAGTAGGAGATGCAGCTACCCGCACAGAAAAGGGAGGAAGATAAGAGGGTTCTTGCTTTTAAGAAGGGAGAACATTCAATATAAATGCCAGAGACCGGCCACAAGACCTGACCAGGACAGGAAGTTAAGTAGATTTTAACTCAGGGGCCATTTGGCATTGCGGGTAGTGGCTGCCTGGAGTGTGATGCTGAGCAGAATGACAAGGCCACATCAGAGCCCAGCAAGAAGACGCCAGATTGATACAGTGGCTGCAGGGATCAGGCTTCAGGTGCAGACCTGTCACAGCCTGCTTTGTCTGCCAGGAACAAGGCCCCATGACTCTGCCAAATTTCAGGTTGTAGGATGTTGCCAGCAACACCAAACAACCAGGTGTAAAGGCAGATGTCGTCCCCCAGGCCTGACTCCTGATTCATCCCAGTGCCCATTGCTCTGCGACCTATTGCAGGCAAAGTGCTCCAGGACAAGGCCCGCATGCCTCGGTATAGAGAGCCCTTCCCGGTCCTCCTCATGGCCCAGGAAGTTTATATTTGGAATCTCATGAAAAGTTATTGTAATTCTAGTGAGTTCATTCGAACCTACCACTTCCAGTGCAACCCATGGTGAGAATAAAGATACTAAAGCATATTTGGGGGCTGGCGATTTAGCTCAGTGGCAAAGAGCCTGCCTGGCAAGCGCAAGGTCTTGAGTTCGGTTCCTGGTACCGGAGGAAAAACAAAAAATAAAAAAATAAAGCATATTTGTAGTTATGGGGAGCCAAGGGGTCCTAAGTCCAGCCATGATGATGGCTATCCAGAACAAAGGCCTCAACCGAAGGCTGAACCCAGTTTTTATTCATTCATGAAGAAGGAAGTGGCTTGAGGATGAGCGACTGTGAGAGTGGTGGGAAATACGTGAGTGCCATGAGCTGGGGTAGGTAGGAGGCCTGACATCCCTCCTGCCATATGCGGAGAGAAGGATATGCAGTAAGAGTAATCTGCATAACGCAACTGAGATGGTGTCTAATGTTCATGGGTCGGTGCTTCAGCTCTGATGTATAATCTTTGAAGCCCCAGGAGGTCACAGCTTCTATTCCCAAGGCTCCATCCCAGCCGACAGTGTGGAGCATCGGCTCACACATCCCACCTCATCCTGGCTCACTCGAGGGAGCAATGGGATAGACCGATATGCATTGCTTAAAGCCAATTGAAGGGATAAGGAAAGGATCCTAGACAGCTCTGTACCTATCAATACATGGAAATAGGGTCAGGCTTAGCCAAAATGGAGCCAATTGCTCTTTTTTCAGGGAGAGCCGCCTAGGTGGTCCTCCACATCACAGGATTTCAAACACCTGCTGGGTGTTCTAGGAAGACATCCAAACCATCACCTTCCTTCTGTTCAGTCACATGATATCTCCTGGGCTGCAGGCCTTGCAGAGATGGACAGGAGTCTTTGTCTCTAGCACTACACAGAAATGACAATTTTGTCCCTAGTTGCAGGAAAATGGGTTTTCTCAGGATCTGTGCTTGTTCAGCCATCCAAGAATCCTCCAGTTTTTTATCTGTTCTTTTTTCTCTGAGAATAGTGTGAGTGATGAAGAATTCGAGGATCTGGACTGAAGCCATGAACCAGACTCGGGGCTAGGCCAGGGAACCTCTAGGCCCCATTCATTGCCAACTCTGACAGCTAGTGGTTATCACACATTCTCATCCCCAAATTCTCCCAACCGGTATCTTATTCTAAAATTGCCTGGTTCTAATAACATTCGAGCACTGCAGCATCCTAACATTGTAGCAAACATAGCTTGCTTTGACTGCGCTTGCCTTTCTTAGGAGAAGGATGGAGCTATGAGCTTTCCAAGATCTGCAAATCCCTCATTGTGGCAGAAAGTCCAGACAGAAAGCAAGATTGAAGAGTTCAAAGGCAGGTGGGTGAGCCCTGGAGACACAAACCTGCACACACTGTGCTCAGCTTCCAGCTCACACCCATTTCTTGCTGAAGTGCTGCAGACCCATAATCAGAACTACACCTCTGGGGCAGGGACACGAGCCGATTAGTGATAAAGATCCAAACTTGAGAGCGGGGAGAGATAGAAACCCAACACACCAAACACCATTAACATCTTCTTAGTAATACTGATTGCACCACTCCCTGGAGAAGGGTCACTGGCCTCCTTGAAGAACATCCATATCCATCAGCTCATCTGACCCTCACCTCCTCACTTCCTGCTGGAGGGCAACAGGATGGTACCTCTTATTCCATTTGGCAGGCAGTTCCATGGAGATGCAGCTCAGAAGTCAGAGTCTCAGAGCGGGAGTGAAATGGTGGTGGTTCTCTAGGCCGTTCTTCCTGCCCCTCTAAAAATCCACCCAGCTGCTGCTTGTGCCTTTTGTTCTGCTGAGGACATGCTTGTCCTCTTGTGCTGGGCTCCCAAAGTGGTCCAGGATTCCCCTCTCACCGCTCTACACATGCACTGAGAAGGTACCCATTACCCACTTGAATGAATGAATGCACTGGCCCTGAAATCTGTAAGCAGACTTGTCCTCTGCTCCTACATCACCCCACAGCAAAACCAGGCTTGTGACCCACATTAGCTGTACCTAATGGAAAGCTAGGGACTCTAGCAACATCAGATCTGTTCTTTGGAAGATAAGGCTGGATGGCAAATGAGAAAACCAGAGAGAGAGTCCAGGGCATGCTGAGTAAAACATGGAGGCAGAGGCTGGAGGAGGAGGGGCTTAGGGCTAAGAAGGAGAAGTTTTAGGGAGAGGAAACAGCAAGATGTTTAGGGAGAGAATCATAGAGAGGGGAAAGAAGGGAGGGCAAAGGGAGAGTGAAGTCAAAGACGTGAGCGCAAAAGGGGGCAGCAGCCTGCTATGCTGCAGACTTGTGCTTTCTGTTTTCCGTGTGGCCTTCTCAGAACCGTCCCCCGGCCCCATCTGCATAGTGAGGGGTTAGACGAAGCAGTGCCTGAGGCCCCTGCCAGCCTGGCCCAGCAGCGTCCTGCCCCCCAGCAAAGATGGAAGGGGGTAGGTGCAGTCAGAGAATGTGAGCACTGTGAAATGTGCTTTTAGGGCCCAGCATCCTTCCAGTTCCTCTCATTGTCCCTCTAGTCCTTAAGACAACACCCACACCCCCCCTTCTCCCATTGGTTCTCTACTCAGAGCTCAAGAATTGAAGCCCCGTGGTCCACTCAGGACCTTTTGTTTTATTTTATTTTATCTTATTTTTTTATTATTTTATTTTGACCTCAGGCGGGTAATGTGCTGACAATGTAACAAGGTATAGAGGGGTGGCACTTCTCACTCCGCATGAACACCCACGCATCATATTTATGGTCACAAAAGGGTCAGTAGGGTCTTTTAAATGTCAGGGGTGAGAGGCAAACACCCACTGCCTGCCACACTCCCCAGGCTGGAGCTCGAGGCCACAGCCTCTGGAAGTGTTTCAGAGTTTTGGAGGACAGCGCTTCAAAGGGCCCTGCTGCCCCCCCACCACATGAACATCTGGCAGCTGGCATGCATCTGCGAACTACAATCCTTGGCCAGAGACACTGTCCTTTTTCAGCCCGGAGGAGCCAGCCAGTCAGGGGACGTCCCCTCCACACTTGGCCCTGTGATCCCTCTGTGAAACAGGGAGCATGGAGAGGAGCAGAGTGTCCGTGTCCTGGCTGCATCCAGGCTTGCTATCTGGAGGAAGGCTTGGGAACCTTGGCTCTATATCCTCAACATTCTCGCTGGGCAGCGTGGGGAAGGCAAGGAAAGAAGGGACCATGGATTAAGAGCCTGGGCTTCAAAGTGAGACTCGGGCAGTTCAGTAACTTTTTTGTCTCCTCACCCTCAGATCCCCTCTGAAACAAGCCTGGGAACCAAAGGGCTGACACTGTATGGCTTGGTGCCTGGCATGATACCGCACTCTTTTTCTTTCTTTTCCTTTTCTTTTTTCTTGTGTGTGTGTGTGTGTGTGTGTGTGTGTGTGTGCGCGCACACACACACACACACACACACACACACACACATGCAAACTGGGAACTAAGCCCAGGGTCTTTACACTAAGCTATATCCCCAACGTTTTTTTCTGTTTTTTGAGATATGGTCTTGCTAAGTTGCGCAGGCAGGGTTTAAACTTGTGATCCTCCTGCCTCAGCCTCCCAGAGTGCTGGGATTGTACCTCTGTGCCGCCACCCCATCTTTGTGACCTCTGGCACTCCCATTGTTGTTTAGGAGCCCCCATCCCAAGAGCCTAGTCCTCCTAGGACAAGACTACTGCTCAGGAAAGAGAAGGGCACCCGGGGTAGAGGGGCTGAAGCAGGAAATCCCAACAGCCAGGGTCAGCTCTGGCAACAGTTAGGCTCCAGGGTGGCGGCCTCTGTCCCTGCCGTGTCGCTTGCCAACAGCAAGTCCTGGCATCCTGAGTGCTATATTTCCAGGAAAAGAGTCTCTGGACATTTGAAGAGTGATTCCCATGGCCATAATGGTGCCTGAGCTGGGCTTTGAGCCCTATACCCCGCAGGACCCATCAACAAGCTCTGTCCTGTGCAAAGCTACTGCCTATGTTGGGAGAAGTCTCTCCCCAGAGGAAAGGGGGCCACCTTGACTTATCTTGGGGTCCCCAGGGCCTAGCACAGGTCTGATATGGAATGAGTCCTGAGAATATCTTGGGGATATTCCTTCAGGGTGCAGCCTGGCTAAAACCCCCAGGGCTGCCTGGCCTCTGAAACAAGCAAAATGAAAGATTCAAACCCTGAGGATTTTAGAAGAGCCAAGAAGAATGGCTTCTAAGAGGAAGTGCATGCCTAGAGGAGCCCCTGAGGAGGACTCCCAGCATAAGCAACCATCAGTCAGGCGACAGCAGTCCCAGAGCAGATGCTGCTCTAGACGGAGCCTCCCGGGCCCCAGAGCCCTTGCCTTGGCAGCTACCTCTACAAAATGCCATAGCCCAGAGACACCCTGTGCCGTCCATGGGCTGTGGCCCAGTTCTGCCCCTTTCTGCGTGCGTGACGTGAAGCAAATTCCACTGGCCTCAGCAGGATTGTTGGGAGGTCAAATGAGAAATTAATCAAGGCATTGGGCATATTCTAAGTGCTGGACAAATGGGAGGTGGGGTTTGCTGCCCTAGGATTTGCACCCACCTTTGCAGTGTGGCAGGGATGCCCCAGGACTCTTTGATTCTGACATCTTGGGTACCAGCAGCCTCCAAGAGAAGCAGAAAATAAGGGCTGCTGGGGAGGGGACTCTAGTTCCCCAAGCATCACAGTCCCTATAGGATGTCTGAGTGGGTCCTGCCTGCCCCCGCAGGCTGATCAGCACTACTCAGCCTTACATGCCCAGCGATGGGGCACCACCTCCCTTACCACTCCAATGCCTGGGGGAGCATTCTTAGGTCCTGCCTGACACCTGTCCTTTCACCTTGTCCTGCAGCACTCAGAATCTCACCGCTTGTCCCCCGTGCCCCAACCATCTCAGGGCCCACCTCACTTTATAGTCCCACTGCAGAACCCCTCGTGGTGGCCGCACATACCACACTGCCTCTCTGCTCTGGGCTTGGGCTGTTTCCTGTTGCCTCTTCTCCTCCCTTGGGTTCCACCGCATTTTCTTCAGCCCCATGGTTCTGGCCCCTCTCCGTCACTGCACTTCGTTGTCCCGTATGGTCTGCTTGCGGGTCTGCCCCTCCACGGGTGTGCCCCTCCACGCGGTCATCTCCTCGGGGGATGCACAGCTCCTGGCAGTGGCTGGGTACAGAGGCGGTGTCATCTCAGCCCTCCTGAGCTCACAAGCTGCAACTCTTCCCTAGGCCGGCGGGAGAACAGGACAGAGGCTCCGGTTTGCTACTTCCCCCTCACACACTCACTCCTTGGGAGAACAGAGCCCTGGGTGCCTCCAATCGTCCAGTCCTCCGCTGGCCCACCGTCCAACCCGCTTGTCACATTTCCTTGGGAAAACAAACCCCACCATCGCTTGATATCCGGTAGGCTGCCCTGCCAGTGAGATTCGCATTTAAAAGTTTCCCTTGCATTAATTTCAGACGGAACATAAATACGGGCTTGAGATGCCGCTTCCAGGAGGAGAAAACTGGAAACCCATCATACTCACTGGAGAGAAAACATGTGTGTTGGCCCAGGCGAACCCGCAGTTCTTTGGAGCCTGTGCAGGAACATCTGGTTCTCTCTCCTCCTCCACCCAGCCCCCAACACGGTCCTGAAATTGCCCTGTTAATCGGTGTATTGTTCTTGCCGAGCACTCGCACACTTTTCTCTCCAATCTGCTGAACCTTGGAAGGTACACGGGTTTCTGACAATTTCCTGCCCCTAGGCTTGAACTCAGGATCTTCTGCAGCTGCCAGCAGTTCACAGTGGATAGCCTGGAGCAGGGACTGGCCTGGGATATCACTGGGTTGATGTCTAAGCTTTGCCTCTTACCAGCTGTGTGACCTTGGGCAAGTCCCATCCCCTGGCTGAGCCTCAGTTTCCTCATCTGTAGACAGGGAGCATGGCCAAGGGTGGCTAGAAAGATGAAATGAACTATGGCTTGAGAAGCACCTGGCACCGGCAGCCACCAGATGAGGGAATGTAGAAGTCTGAGGGCCAAGGAGACCATGCGGCCCAGGACCATGTGGGGAAAGGGAGACACAGAGAAGGGAGGAACCTGCCCAGACCACACTATCAGCTAATGAGCCAAGTTTTCCGTCGCCGCTCTGTCCTACCTGCCTTTTCCCATAGAGGAGCACTGGGGCTGTCAGGTTGTGCCCAGCAGAAGGTCAGGGCTAGGTCTGGCCAGCACTCTGCTCCTCAGACATTCTGCCCTGGCACAGTCCTGCTTGCACCCTGAAAAGTGAACTTTTTTCTCTGCTCTGAAGCTCACAGCGCCTATAACCGCTGAGCGGGGCAACCCTTCCTGTTTGTAAGTGAATGTTCTTTCAAAGGAGTCAGGACTCACCCAGCCTCACCATTTTAAAGATGCTGATGCCCCTCTGGACCCAGCCGCCTCGCCTCCCTTGTCTTCCCCTCCAATTCAGCCGCATCTGCCTCATGAATCCTCCTCCAGGGAGCCTTCCCCGACACTTCAGCAGCTTGTGTCTCTTCCACCATGCCCTTTGCGCTAGCTTCTGGGTTCTCTGCATCCTCTCCTCTTCCTCCTTTCCCCATTTCACTCTCTGTCTCTGTGTCTTTGCGTCTCGTTGGCCTGTCCTTGCTTCTTTCTGTCTTGGTGTCTCCCCTTCCCTCTCCCCTTCCCATTCTGTCTCTTGCTGCCCATCTCTGACCCACCACCCCTGCCCTTCTCAGTCCTTCTGTCTGTTTTTCAGAGCTCCCTTGCTCTTCCATGCTCCTCTGTGACGTCTCTGCTGTCCCCGGCCTCCCTCCTTGTCCCCGTGCCTGCGGGTGCCCCCTCCCACTGCCCTGATCCCTTCTTCCTCTTCTGCTGTCTGGGCAGCCGCAGCAGATGAAGTGGAACATGTCTTTCTGCAGAGCGCTGGCCAGAGAACAGCTGGAAGTCAGTGCTGGAGAGAGCTGCTGAGCAGTGGCCAGGAGACCCAGGGAGCATGGACAAGCCAGGCAGGCTGAGCCCCAACACGATGGAGCCCTTTGGAAACTTTCCGCAACCTTCCTGCAGGTTCCAGGATGGGTGTGGTCCTTGTTTCAGGATTTCTGACCTTGGAGGCAAACCTAAGCCCTGTCTGCCAGCCCCTGGGGACAGCATGTGCTGGACCCTGACTACTCAAGGGGCTGCTGCAGGGGCCAGGCTCCCGGGACTGGTGGGACCGGGAGGAGCATCGCCAGTGAGTAGAACAGCACTGGGCTATGGAAGGAGGGGACGCGGGTCTCCTGGGGATAAGATGAGATCATGGAAAGGATATGAAGTAAGAGGTTGTGTCTCTCATTCATTCAACAAGCATTCACAGAGCCACTGAAGTGTGCCTGACTCCAGCTTAGCTCTAGGACAAAGATGAATCGGGCCTGGCAGAGTCCTTGAAGAACTCCCAGTCCTCCCTCAGGTGGCTCCTTGAGAGCATGCTCCAGCTGTCAGTTCTGGACCTGGCAGGCCCATTTAGCTGCAATGAGGAGGGGAAACCAGCAAGAACGGAGTGTTCTCTGCAGGCACCGGCATGAGTGTCCAGGAGGTGGCATCAGGGTCTCTCACTGGAGGAGGACGAGGAGGATGAAGAGTCCACACAGGGTGATTTGGCTGGGCCAGCAGAGCCAGTGGGGCCCAGGACCTGCTTGGAGAGAGGGCGAGCTGTGCTGGGTTCTGTGAAGGGTGAGGTGGCTGGAAAAAGGGAGTTGACTAAGATGACAATGCCAGAGCCATCGGCATGGTATGGAAATTGAACATGGCCTGGTGTTTGTGCCTGGGGCGTGGATAGAGTAAAGGGAAGGAGACCCAGGGCCCCCACATTTATTAGGCAGGGAAAAGGAGGGGAGAGGGCGTGTGAGCAGCACACAGGGTGGGCCCTGGGAAGATGTAGCTGTCACCAACCCACTGTGGGGTCCCCTGAGACCAAGCCACAGAGAGGGTGGGTGGTGGGCACATGGGCTGGGCGCATACGGCTTATACCACACAGTCCCAAGGCACAGCTGCGTGGAGCACTGCCTTGCAGGGCTGTGTGAAGGGCAGCGGGGGCACCATTCCTCCCACCATAGGGGGCGTGAGGGAGGACAGTGTGGTCTGGCCAAGGGGGAAAAAAGGATGGGAATTCAAAGTGATTGCTTCCTTCTGGCCACAACCTCAAGTCTTCTCTTTGTGGTCTTCAGGAGACCAGTAGTGTCTGGGGGCCTTGAGGTTGACAGAATGGCTCAGAGCCCTGCGCTGACATGGAGAACACTGCCAAGGGGTGCTCGCAGGTGCAGCAGCAACCTGAGAGGCTCTTGAGGTCAAGGTTGTGGCAGGGCATGGGCCCCTCTGAGCATTCCTAGGCTCTCCCAGCCATACTGCAGTCAACAGTCTGCTGCTGTACCTGTGTACCTGAAGCTCTCTGTCTTTGCTGGGGGCTCTTGAGGTCCTCTGGATAGAGGCAGGACAACAGTCAGGCCACAAGGCCCAGGTCTTCAAACACAGGTCTTCATGGAAGCTGCTGGAGCAGAGGCCAGGCGTTGCCGGGGGTACAATCTGCAGCTTGAAGCCTGCTACTCCCTGTGCCCTTCTGCCCAACTATACCAGGGGGCAAGCCAGATTAGGGCTGGCTCTGTCCAAGCCAGGTCACCACTCAGGATGGCACTCTGGCCTTTCCAAAGGACATGCACTCCTCTGCCTCAGGATGGCTTTACAGCTGCTCAGAGAGCTGGTCCAAGGGCTACTGGCCCGCCTGACACATGGGGAAGCAGAGACTCGTGGCAGGAAGTCCACTGCTCGGGATCACAGACTGAGGGGAGAGTCAGCACGGCAGAAGCCTGAGTCTCCTGTGCTCAGCTGCGTAAGGCCAGGCTGAGAGCCCTGAGAGGATCTGGTTGTGCCTGTGTTGTGTGCATCTCTGAGGCCAATGTCCCACAAGTGCCTCCCACCCCCACCACCCCCAGAGCATCTTGCTCAGTGCTGCACCCTCCATCCTCACCTCACTAACAATGCCTCCTCCAGGAAGTCTGCCCTATCCCTGGCTGGCTAGGTGCCTCCTACGTACACGCACGCACAGCCTCTGTGCTTCCCCCTGCATTGTTCTGTTTGCTCCACTGCTGTTACCGTTCACAGCTGTCTAGCACTAGCTGTGTACTCAGTCAGAGGGGGAAGGGAGGGCAAAATATCTTTTCATAAAAGCCTTGAGTCAAACAAACTCCTCCCCCATAGACTGAGCCAGAGGGGCCCCCGAACACTGTGTGACCCAGTCCCTTCCTCTTCCTGAGAGGAAACTGAGGGCACTGGGGGTGCTGGGTGAACGGATACTGGGCTAGAACCCTTTGCCAGTCCCAATCCGTGATCTTTCCCATGATGCCCAGGTGTGTCCGCAGGGACTGTGGCAGGCAGGAACAGGAAGATGGCTGGGCTGGGGGAGGTGTGAGAGGTTACAGCCCCTGTGCAGGCCCTGCTGACCCCTCTGTGCCAGAAGCCTACCGCTTGTCCACTCTACTCCCTTCTACCTCCCCGGGACTGTCGGTATGTTGACCTCCCTACTTCCCACCTGTCACCACCTGTCATAGGCAATCAGTGTCATGGGACAGGATTTCCCCCAGGTTCTGGAATGAATGGTGAGCAGGAAGGAAGAGTGCTGCCCCCGGAGGTGGGCCCACAGGGGAGACTCACAGTGGGGAGGGCCCCCGGATCTGGGCAAGCACTCTTCCAAACTGACCCTGCTCACACTGGAAAGGTGGGGAGACAGAGACCTGGGAGGCAGAGGGGCATCCCTGGACACTGACTCCCAGCAGCACCTGTGTCCACCATCATTGGCCTCCCTGAGAGTCTTCCTATGCAGAACCTGCGAAGGGCTTCCCCTGAGTTCCCAGCCTTGGACCTGCTTCCTGGTGAAGGAAGACCCGTTCCCCTCTCTTCTGGGACTTGGGATTAAATTATCCATTTCAGTGTTCACAGTGTTTCACAGAGTGCTGGCCCCAGAGCGAGCATGTCATAAATACTGAACGAATGAAGAGTGGCGGGTGGTGAGAGGAAGACCATGTGTGGAGGGATGGTTTTCTTGGGCACCTCCTCTAGGCCACTGAGACTGTGTCTCCTCCACTGGGATCTTATACCTCAGTGAGTTCTCAGTGGCCATGCCAGACCCTGGGCTGCCACATGTGCTCCACACAAGCTGGGTAGAGAGATGGTGAACAAATGAATGCTCAGACCCAGGTGACTGTGCCGGGCATTTGCAAGACAGTGGCTATGTGCGTTCTGTCCCCCGAGACCTGTTGAGCGGACCCTTGAAAAACACAGAGACCCCGCTCCCATGCTGACAGAAGTCTGCTGATGGAGCTTATAAGAATGAGCCATGGGGGGCTGGGGGTTTAGCTCAGCAGCAAAAGCACCTGCCTGGCAAGCGCAAGGTCGTGAGTTCGGTTCCCGGTACCGGAGAAAAAACAAAAAAAAAAAAAAAATGAGCCATGGACCTGCTGGGTCTGGAGGGTTTCTTGGCATTAGGCCTAGTGAGATTGGAAAGAAGGGGCAGGGTCAGCTAGGTGCAGGAGACTTGGTGATGCAGCAGGAAGCACTTGGAGGCCTCGCCACCAGCCAGCTATTGTCCTTGCAGCAACCCTGGGGAAGGACAGTAAGTCCTCTCTGCAGATGAGGCAGCTGAGGCATGGGGAGCTTGTGAGCATCACAGCCAGGACATGGACCCAGGCATGGCAGCACTAGGACCGTACCTTGCCCACTGGGCCATACTGCCTCTCAGGGAGTCTGAGGCCCTGACTGGTGCAGCCTGCTGACCCAGACACAAACCCAGGGGGTGGCCCAAGTTGTCCCCACTGACTGGCATCCTGGCATGTGGCTGAGCATACTCTGTGTCTTGTGTTCCAGGTCACTTCCTGGGGAACAACACTGTCATTGATGTTCTGCGGCAAGCAGGGCTAGAAGTGGACCACACACCTGCTGGGAAGGCCATCGACAGGTGAGTAGCAGGGCGTCTGAGGGCATCTTGGGACTGGATGGCTGGTCTGCCAGTGCCTGGCCACGGTTCAGATGGAACCACGTGCCACATGGCTGGCTGCCCCTGCCTTCCTGCTCAGGACCGTGGGTAGAGTGGTAAAGAAGCTTGTGGTGAAATGGGTGCTCATGGGGACAGGCGAGACCAGAGACCATGACAGAGGGGATCTGGAGGTGGGAGAGTGGGGAGAAGGTCTGTGTACATTCTTGATGGGAGGTCAAAGCAGGGCATGCAGTGGAAATCTAAATCCCACCAGGGAATCCCGGTGAGCAGCACTAGGATGCACAAGTGGCTTGGGATTCAACACTGGTGAATTAAAGAGATGGGGTAGAAGTGACCCCTCGGGGGAGGACTCAGTGGATGCCCCAACCCAGAATCAAGATGCTGCCATGGGAGGATGTGCCACAGCCTGACCTCTTCCCGCAGCGCCCTCGCCTTCTCCATTGCCACCTCAGGCTGTGTCCCTAGCTCCTGACTTTCCTGCCAAGGCACACCCATGGGGTTCACAGAGCCACTGTCCCCCATCTTCTTCTCCTGTAGGAGTTCCCATCCACCCTCACCAAGTCTGGAAGCTACCCAAGGGGAGGGACCAGCTCCGCTTGTGAGTCTACAGCACCAGCACCAGACAAGAGCCGGGCTGGGTCCTGGGTAGCCCTAGAAGTCAGTGTCAGGATCCTCAAACTCGGGGTCCAATGCAGCCCATGCCCAAGATTTTATGCAGGAACTTTCCCCATCAACACACAAGGCTGGGCACAGCATGACTTCAGCTCCTGTCCCTGATGTTACAAGACCCAGAGTCCAAAAGAAGCTTGAATAATCATAGCCAATAATTATTTGCTACTTACTCTGTACTGAACTTCAAGTGCTTCTCTCTCACTTAATCCTCACAACATCCTCAAGGCAGGAACTGTGAGTCTCGCTAACTTGTCTTTGAGGAACCTAAGCCGAAAAGGGGTGGCACCTGCAGGTAAAACACAGCTTGTTGTAAGAGACGAGTCTGGCTCCTGGTGCTCCTGAGCTCTAGTCACTTCTGTACCCACTCTGGTGATGGCATGGGCACTGGGGAAGATTGTGACCTTGATCTTCAGAGATGAGGCTATGGGGTTGAGCCTGAGTCACTAGACTCCTAGACCCGGACCAAAGCTCCCCAGGCTGCATGGTCCTTCCAAAAAAATTTACAAACACTGGCATTGGGACTCCATCCCAGCCGCCCACCTCTTCTCATCTGGGTTAACCTAAAAGACTGCTCTTTGTGCTGGAATCACTTGAGCCCAGCACGCAGCAGCATGTATTGAGGTTGCGGGTGTTTGAGAGATCTAAGGTAGCCTCAGGGTCATGGTGTTCCTCAGGTTCCCTCTGTTCCCCTGCCCCACCCCTGCCCTCGTGTTCTCAAGGCTTTCCCCTTGAAGCTCATTGTGTGTGGCCAGCCAGGGCACAGGAGGCAGGCAGCCCACAAGGCTGCCGGGTGGAGAACCTTTTAATTTCAGAGCCCAGGCATTGGAGGTGAGGGTTCCCCCACTGTACCCCCACAGTCTCTGCTCTGAAGGCTCTCAGGCCTAGCCTCCTACACAGAGAAACAGGCAGCTGGCGGGGCAGAGGGGGAAGGGATGCTGAGGAGGCTCCAACAATAAAAGCCATCCTCAACCACAGGTGCTTCCTGGATCTATCTTTTTGTCTGACTGTTTTGAATTATCTTCCCAACAGCTGCAGCATCTCCAGCAGCCTGGACCCTGGGAATCTGGGGTTGCCGTGGGGGCTGGGAGAGGCTGAGCCGATGGCCCTTTATTTCTTCAAAGAGGAAGAAGCCTCTCTGTCATTGTGGAGAGTGGGAGTGCAGTTGGGAGGACAGGCTGCTTGTGGTCTTAGGTACCACCTTCCCTTGCAAGCTGCCCACTCAGACAGTTCTGAAAACTACTCCCAGCCTTCCTCCCAGAGGAATTCCTCTGGGATCGTGGAGAGGAAAGAATAAAGGGCAGAAGAGTGGAGGATGCACCTCAACTGAGAGGTGCACGTGCACATGCCCACATGGGACAGAATTCCATGAGCACACCCACATGGTGCTTCCTTGCCTGCCCGACACCCAGGTCCTTTTGCTTGTTGGCTGAATCAGAAGGAGGCTTGTTAGTTCTGAGCAGGGTTGAGCTTTCTCCTCATCCACCCCCATGACAGCCCCATGGAAGAGGTACCAGTGGTGTCACTCCCCATGTACAGCAGCTTGAGATGACAGCAGAGTTGGCCCTTAGTCCCACAGCCTGCGGGTCATGGAACCAGATGTGAACCTCTCATTTGTCTGCCTCCAGCTCCATCTCTAAGGACCTGACCGTGTCCTACCTCCACTGAAAAGGTGCACAGTAGATGTGTGTTGAACTCAGGCACGGATGATGGGATGAATTAAATATGATCAACACAAATAGTGTTGACAGCTAAGGTCCTCGTGCTGCTTACTATTGCCAGACAGTGTGAGAAGCACTTTGTTTGTGTTTGCCTACACCATCCTCAGGCAGCCCATGTGAGGTGCACACGGTCATAGCCCCATCTTATAGAAAGGAGACCAAGGCACAGTGAGGCTAGGGATTCGCCTACAGTCCCTCAGACTGTTGATGAGTGAGACCCTGACCAGGATCACATATGCCCCAGAGGAATGTCCTCATGTCCAGAGTCCATGTGTCACCTACTGGTGACACCACCTTCCTGGACCAGCACATGGCATGCTTTTGTGCCCTCCTCTCCTCTGTGTTCTCAGTAGCTGTGGGCATCTGCCATCCTGTGTGGCTTCCTCTACCTTTAGCTTGGGAATATGAGCAAGGGTGGCATCTGTTTGGGTCACTGCTGATATCACGAGGCCAGTGTCTCCTGCAGGGTGGGAGCTCAATAAAGATGCATTGGCCAAATCAGAAGAAGGAATGAATGCTCTGTCTCTCACCACAGACAGTGGTTTTCCTGGGATCCTCTTGCTGGGCCCAGCAGGGGCACTCTGGCATCGACTCCTGCTGTCAGCTTTCCCACCAAATTAGATTCCTTGTTGTGCACACATGACATATTCACGAGCTGTTTCCCTTTCCAGCCCTGCTGCCAGGAGCTCAGCGCCCCCTCCAGAGGAAATTTCAGCCAGCCCAGCCCCAGCCACCCCAGCTGCCGCCATCCCTGAAGCACCCTCAGCAACCCCCACTGCCACCCCCGAAGAGGAGGATTCAGCCCTGTCCCCACACCTGCTGCTCCCTGACAGCCTTAGCCAGCTGGAGGAGTTTGGGCGACAGAAGAAGTGGCACAAGAGGCAGAACAAGCACCAGCGGCCAAGGCAGTTCAACGACCTCTGGGTCCGAATCGAGGACAGGTGAGTTAGGGCAGGAAGATTGCCCGGGAGCTGGGTGTCAGCCTCCCCACGCCAGGGTGCTGTCATCCGTGAGCCCTGCTCTGAGCAACCATGCCAGGGGGTATCTGAACTTCTAGGCTTGCTCTTCCATGTTCACAAAGGATCCCCTAGAGTGTCCTTAAGGGCTCACAAAGGAACATTTACATCTGACCCTGCAGTTTTATTCTCAGTACCAAAGCAAGTATAATTCTCTGCATTTTAAAGGTGGAAAAATAGAAACTTACTCAAGTGCAGTAGATAAGTCTGCTTTGGTCTCCCTGGGCTGCATCCAGTATGCTGGGGGCTCCATTCGTCCTGTGGACTGGAGACAAAACCAGGAGCAAACACCACAGCCTGGTTACACCACAGGGCCTAAGCTCCCTGTGCCTGGTAGGTCTGAACAATGACACCATGGCGGCGGGCTACAGAAGGGCCTCACTCTGTATAAGAAAGGAGATAGAAGGGGACTGATACCCAAATGCTGAGGCTCTGTCACAGGGTTTTCGTGGTAGAGCTTATTGTAAATGGGCAGGTGCAGAAATCATCCTAATGTACTAAGACCTTCCATATTCTTTCTGTACACTCCTTCTGCCTCCCTCCTTGGCCTGTCTGTCACCAAAGCTCCTGCTGTCACCAAGATGCTGTCTGCCATCCTCCACGCGCAGCCGCTATACAGAGCCATCTCCCTAGATTCCCTTGTGTGGTGAGAATCTCCCTACATAGTAAATAATGTCACCAGAGCATCAGGAATATCTCAAGGACAGACTATCAGTGAAAGGGCAGATCCCCACCCAGTGCAACAGCCCAGCCCTGGACCTAGTGACTCAGCAGTGAGATTTTGGAATCCAGAGTCCCCATCTGGACCTTACAGATAGCACCCAAGATTTTCCTCAACAACCTTGACAGAATCACCTTCAGTACTTCTAAATAAACCAATGACCAGGGGCCCAGGGAGCCTTGTAGATTGCACCTGGAGATTCCTCTGAGGAGTTTTGGGAAGCGCTGGCGCAATTATACTTAAGGATGAACCAAGGCCTGGAGCTTGAGGGCCCCACCACCCAGGGAATCAGGGGCTGCCTTCCACTTCCCAAATTCTGCTTCTCCAGCAGCCAGATAACTCAGCCATTGATAAAGGATCAATATAACCCCGTTCCCATCATAAAGGACGTATTTTGAAGATATTTCCAGAAAATCAGTATCAATCCCACTGAGCTTTTGGGCATTGGTTTCAAAGCACCCGATGGGTTGTTGGAAATGTATTTCTGCAGAGCACTCCCAGGCCCTGCATGCCCGAGGCAGAGGTGTTGCTGTAGCTCTATTGGCTGGGACACATCTGGGCCAAGCACCCAGCCCTGGCTCCCCTTTGTAACTAGGAGTGAGGGCACTTCCTTCTGAGGGGAGCGGGGCTTGCAGGCTGCCAGCAAGGCTCAGGGGGAGAAGGAGCTGGCAGCTAATTATGAGCTGCAATTAGTTTGGTCACTTGCAAGCCTGATCAGCTTGTCAGGGTGACCAGGAGACCGAGCTAGCAAAGGCTCCAACACAGAGGGTGACAGAAGGCTGGGCTGTCAGCTCCAGCAACAGGCCCCCAGTCCCTAACCGTATCTGAAAGGTAAATGCAGGCAAATGACTCCAAACAGTTTCCTTTGCACAACACGTGCGTGTGAAACACAGAACCTAGTTTCAGGAGAAGAAAATGGCTTTTCTTTGGTGGAGGGCAGCCCCTTCTGCATCCCAACGAGTACATGGTAGTTGGCTAACTCTCTTCCATCTGGTCAGTGTGGAGAGGGAAGTTTTCACCAAAGGGCAGCCTGTGGATTAAAAGTCTCATGCTGCTTCTCAAGGAACCAGGCCCTGAGCTCCCCAAGAGGCCCAGGTGTAGGGCACAGACTCCCTGGCTCCTGGTGAACTCACTCCACCGTCTTGGGTGCCCCAACTTAAGGGAGCGGGCAGAAGAGATCTCTCTGGTGACAGCCTGAAACACATCTGTAGTCCTTCTCACACTTTTCCTTGGAGTTCAGAGTCTCCCACTTTCCTCCCCCTAAGTCCCATGGGAGTCACCCCCCCTTTGCCCTCTCCCTCTTCTGCCTGCAGCCCTGCAGCAGGGCCCTAACAGGTCTGCCAGCCTTTCCCTTGACCATTGTACCTGCTCAGTTTGTGATCCTGAGTTCCCTGTGGCCACCGAGAACACTGCCCAGATGCAGGACCCTCGCCTCCTTCCCCACTTCCCCTACTGCTCCTTCTGCCCAGGTCCTGCAGGGCCTGTTCCTGCCAGGCCGGGTGCCAGGACTCCTCCACACCTGTGAGCTTGCTGCTTTCTGCTCCAAGAGGGGTACAAGTGAATTCACTGGGCTCTGCTCTGTGCCAGGTGCTCACACCTACGGCATCCCGGTTCTGCCAAGAGACACGGAAGGCCAAGCCATTTTATAAGCAAGGAAATAGACTCAGCCAGATCAGGGAACTTGCCTAAGAACACATAAAGTCCTGGAGTGTTTGCGTCTAACACTAAAGATCACATTCGTCACCCACTACCATGTAAGTGTGCCCTTCCCACCCACACCTGCCTGGGCTTTCCCTCCTCCCCCACCCCAAGGCAACCCTTGCCCTGTCCCCACTGTCCACACCACGGTTCTTCCCTGTGTTTCTGGACTGGAGGTCCATGGCGATCAGGGCTTGGGCTGCACTGCTCTGGGTCACCTGAGGCCTTGCTGGGGTTTATTGGCTGTGGAGTGGAGTACAAGGCAGAGGGGGTGGGGTGGGGTGTGGGTTGTGAGCACCAGGCTGGGACACCACCTGGAGCAGGATGGCCTCCCCTCGCCCCTCATTACCCATTACCCGAGATGTAAACACAGCAGAGGAAGTTTAGAGAAGCAGCAGCCCGTGCCAGGATGATTTATGGCGACCCATGGAAAGGGCTGAGCGTGTGTCCACAGATGGCTGCGCAGCAGTGAAGCAGTCTCCAGGATCCCCCACCTCTGAGAGCCAGAGGCAGGCAGCAAGGAAGGGTGTGACCAGGGCAAGCCAGAGCAGAAGCCCTTCTCGTGCCATGTGGACATGTTGCGATCCTTCTGTGTCTCTTTTTGCACAATTAGGCTCTTGGCTGAGGTCTGGAGGTCATGCTAGCTCTTGGTCTCCAGGACCAAAAGTCTTCAGGAGCACAGGTGTGTGTGTGTGTGTACTTTGAGGGTTGAAAGTTGCATAAATAAGCGAGCAGAGTGGCTGGCCCATCAGGATTGGAAGGAGAGCGATATTACACAGGTGTAGGAAAGAGTAGCTTCTGAGTGCTGCGCAAGACCCAAAGCAAAGCCCATAGGTGGGCATCAGTAAATGACAGACACAAAGCTTTGGCGAGTCCCACCAACCAAGTGCAGGGGATACAGGACACACTGTACCAGGGCTCTTTGCCCTCTGGGTCTGTCTCACCTGAGGTTTGAGCAGAGGGGAGGAGACATGGTGTTCCTCCCCACCACCCTGTTATTGGAGGAACTGTATCCTCCTGCCCTTTCTGCCCAAATTCCCCAGCCCCAGTTCCTGTAACACAACCAGCGCTTCTCCTGGGATGGCCAGAGTGGTGGAAGATGCCCCCACTGGAAGATGCCCTCATAAGAAGCAGAATCATCCAAGGAAATAAAGCACAGACAACAGACAGACCAAGGTGCAAATCTCAGCCCCTCCTCGTATTTGCTTTGAGACAAAGAGATTTAGTGCCTGTAAAGCACTAAGCTGGTATCAGATCAGCAGTAACATTGTAATAACTGCCACTCGTGTGGATGCCTTTGACTTTTAGAGTCTGCTCTGGTCTGCCCACCTAGCCTCTCCCCAGCTGGAAGCTATTCAAGACCCTTTAGTAGACCGTAGGCTTAAAGTCTTAAAAAAGCCATTAGGAGAAGGCTGGGAGCTCTCCCTAGCCTAACAGAGGTGGGCATCTATGTGTGGTGGCTATAGTTGCACATACCAGCTACCCAGTCATGTGGTTAGCTCAGGTTGGGGACAGAGACAAATGGCCCCTCAGTATGGTGTCATTGGAAGAGCCCGAGAATCTCAGGTCCTAGATGACCTGGAAAGTTCTCATCTCCTCCCAGTTTTGCATCTCAGGGATAGACAGGCCCTTCCAGCTCTGGGCTGCTATGAAACTTTTAGGAATCATGCCAGTCTGCCTATGGTCTTTGGGCCGAGTGAAGTGTGAAAGCTTCCCCAGTGCAGGAGACCTGGGGACAAGGGGTAAAAGCTGCTGAGATAGATTAGGAGATCGGGCTTTAGGTAAACTGGATCTCTGCCTCTGTCTGACCTGCTGGACCCAGAGTCTGAGGCCCAGACAGTTATCACATGGAGTCACCCCTGGCAGGTCACATGGAGGGCTCTACCCCCCCAGCAGCAAGGCTCCGATGACCCAGGCGCTATACACTTCGAGGCTTGTCTCCTCTGCAGCTCCTTGAAGCTCTCTAAGAAAGTCCTCCCATGCTCAGACACCAGGCCCTAGTATTGGCAAGAAAGTTAAGGCTGTGATGTCTAGCACTTAACCTTGGACCACTCACTCTTCAAGACCTCGAATGCTGAGATTTGGCCCCACTCAAGGGAGCCCTCAGCAGGGACCTCTGGGGCAGACAACACTGTCTCAGCACCAACCTTGCTTTTCTGTGCTTTCTCCCCCTTGGGCCTCTGCCTAAGATCCCAGTCTCTTGCCACTGGAACACAGTTTAAAGTCCCTGGGTCTGTTCCTGCTCCTTCACTGTATATGTGGGGAAACTGAGGCCTGGAGGAGAGCTCTGGTCCTGTCTCACAGCAAGCCAGGAGCATAACTCAGGCTGACGAGGGGCTTCTGCCTTCCACGCAGGCCCAGGGGCCCTGCCAGCTCTGAGCAGACTTGGCTCTGCTGTGCCAGTTCTCTGCAGAGCCTGGGAATGCTCTGGGTGTTTGGTTTGGCCTCAAGGCCTTTTTGCCATCAGGCAGTTTTCCCCGGCCTGAGCCTAGGAGGGGGTAGGGACCTGGACAGGGGAGCTGAGCTTTGTGAACAGAATGGGGCAGGGAGGTAGGGTGGGAGCATTTGGGGGGCTCTTCTCCCTCCCCGGTCCCACTTCATTTCCCTGGGCCTCCTTCCAAGCAATAAAAGCCCCACTCAAGCTCTGAGGGGGAGTTTTCATCTTCAGTTTTCAAAGCGTAAAAGAAAATGCCTCCGGGCGCCTTATGAGACAGTTTTCACAGCTCCTACTTGGTCTCGCCTTTCCCAGCCCGGCCACTTCTCAGGGCAAGACAGTCTGCTCCTCTGAAGCCGCCCTCAACCTCCCAGCTGCTAGAGCCAAAGCGTCAGGCATAAGCAGGTCAGGGATCTTTATGGGCTTTTGGTGTTGTGTGTGTTTTCTTAGTTTTTCATTTCATTAGAAAAGAAGGCAGGATAGAGACCCTTGCCAGGCACAGAGGCTAAGGTCAAAGGAGGCTGCAGGGTCCCGTCCTTCTCCACAGCCTTCACTCAGACGCTCCTCACGTCTCCATCACCCGCTTCCCCGTGGCTCAGGTGGGGAGGCAGGTGGGCCCCGTGCATCTCATCTCTGGCAAGAAATCTCACCTACTTCAAGCTCGGTTTGCCCATCATGGCGATGGGAATCATAAGAAAATGACACAGGTGTCACGCTGAGCCCAGCATCTGCCAGTGCATTCTAAGTGTCCATAAAGAGGACATTGTAAGCGGAAGAGACACAGACATAGAAATAATCATGATGCTAAAAATAGCCGACATCATCTCACACCTCCTAGGGACCAGGCGGTATTCCAGGACTTTACACATTGAAACCCGTGTGAGATAAGCCTGCCACACAATGAGGTCAGTGAGAAATGTGCAAGAGTTGGTGGGAGCCTTAACTAGCAGCTGGCACTGAGGGCTGCAGGAAGGGGAAGGAGGCAGGTCTTCGAAGGTGAGCGGGACAATGGCAGCAAGACTGTGGGTGTAGGGTGTGTGCTGAGGAGCTGTGAACGTTGTGGTCAGCGTGTTGGAGCAAGATCACCACAGGATGGGTTGCAGGTGTGAAGCCTGCACAGCTGGAAAGCACAGCACCCTGATGCTGCAAGGTCCAAGGGACATTAGACACCACCTGGCCACCCCGTCTCCCCTCATGCACACGCTGTTCAGGAACACCGTGTTGTGCGCTCTGGGTGGGAGTCAGCAAGTGTTGACTCCTCCTCTCCTCATGGCTCCTTTGAGACTTTCAGCAGACAAAGGATCATGGTACATCGCACCTCTGACATCAGGTTGGAAAGAACCTTGCAAGAGATCCAATGAGGTCTAGCGGTCAGAGCATTGCCAAAGTAGGGCAGAAAGAGAGCCAGGGCAGCAGACAAGGAGCCCTTCCTTTCCTGGCTTCCACCAAACTAGGAAATGGTGCCCAAGACCACTTGGTGCCCTCTCCCAAGCCGAGGTCCCAGCCTGAGTCTGGTGGAGGAGGGGTATGCTTGGTGACGTCCGGGTTCCCCTGTGTACCCACCGCGGTGGAAACTGAGCTTGAGCTGTGTGACAGGGATCCCCCTAGGACGTAGGAATTCTAGGTCTCATCCCAGTGATTATTACCAGCTGTTTTGACCTGGTGGCCTAGCCCAAAAGAGGAAAGCCAAGGGCACCCCCAGATGTTCAAGAGAATGAGCAGCTGACAGGGAATGGAGGCAAGCTCCAGGAAGCAGGCAGGGCCCCACTCGAAGGCGCACCCATGCTGCAGACCCCCCAGAGACCACCCCACCCACCTCGAGGTTACCAGCCTGTCTCTAGGCTGTCCAGTTCCACACTCTGACCCTGCCTTCTGTTCTGGGTGAGTTAACCTCTGTGCCTCAGTTTCTTCCTAAGAACATGAGGTAACAGCGGCCCTGCCTCTCCCTGTTGTCATGAGGAGGCCTTTCTGGCCCTGTGTGGGACAGGCACCCCCACACACACCGTTTACCCGCCTCCCCTGCAGTCCCGCCTAAGCCTGATGGGGCGCTCTGTGAGCAGGCTCGGCCACTGCTTGGTGGCCTGACCACCTCCTTCACCCCAGAGCCTGTCCCTCTTAGCCACAGGTCTGTCAGATGGCTCCCCTCGTGGCCTCTCTTCATCAGACCTCTGTCACTGTCCTCTCTCTTGCTCGATCCCTGGTCCCTGCCTCATCTGTGTCTCTCTTTCTTCGTGCTTTTCCTATGTCTTTTCCTGCTCCTCAGCCCTCCCTCTCCAACTGCGCAAGGTCCCCTGGGCTCAGCCTGTCCTTCCTGCCACATCTGCTCTTGTTTCTTTCTGTTTCCCTCCCTCCCCTCTGCGATGTAAGCTTTCTTGAGCCAGACATCTCACTTGTTACCTTGGACCTGGATTACACATTTGTGATTTGTGAATGACTGTACATTTCACTAACACTCCCTGTGCACACACCGTGCTGGCCCCGTGCGTGTACCACCCCACTTTCCCCTGCAGCCTGGGCACCAGGGACCTCACTAAGCCTCAGTTTTATCTGCTGAGAGGGGCAATGACACTCATTGTGAAGATTTGTTGTGAGGACCAGAAACACTATTTATAAAGTTCTGGACTCAGGGATCCACAGTAAATCATGGTTGTGACAAGCATGGAGAAGCTGGTAGCTCACTTGGAGGGGAAACAGCAGGGAGCAGGGGCCCCTGTGGACAGGAATGGAAGTTGAGCACCCTGGAGACCCCAGAGCTGTCTCTTCCCTAACACTATGACTTCTTTCTATCTGAGACCCATTCTTATGATCAATCACAGGTGGCCCTGGCCCGACCCTACTTCCCGGCACAGGAGGACAAACACAGCCTCTGTGGGTCAGCCAGAGTGGCTGTGTGGCCCTGGGAGGCTCATCTTCCATGTACAAGTCCCCATCTCCTTTTATGAGAAAAAAACATAGATGTGATAAAGTCAAATCTGAGCCCCCGAGGCCTCCGCCCAGGCTGAGGAGGCTGACAGTCACTCTGCCATGTGTTTCCTCCCTTCCAGCACCACCGCCTCGCCGCCACCACTGGCTCTCCAGCCCACCCCCAGCTCTGGGACCGCCAAGCCCCCCTTCCAGCTCTCCGACCAGCTCCACCAACAGGACCCAACAGGGCCCACCAGCAGCTCCGCGCCGGCCCTGGGCCTTCTCGCTGCTGTGGCTGCCACCATTGCCGCCCCCTTCCTGCTACACACTCTCGGGCCCTCCTGACCTCGGCCACCGTGTACAAAGAAGCCAGAGAAACCACGTGAGGGTCTGCGGCCACCCCCGTGGCCCCCGCCTCCACCTCTGGGAGTGCCACCACCTCAAGGGCAGTCCAGATAGGACCCTTTAGAACACTAGAGCTTTATCATACCCAAGTTACATCTTCTTTTTTGTAGAAGGTCTTAATTTCCCATAGTGCTATGGGGCTCTTTTGTAAAATATGTGTCCATATTAAAAGAGAAAAAAATGTATTTATTCTACCGATAAAACTATTTTTATGAGGCCTATATTGTAACCCCTGAATTAACCCTAACAGCAACCCAAAGAGGGACCCAGGTTGCCAAGACATCTATGACCTGTGCTGGCCCTGGCTTTGAACTGGTTTTGCTCCTGTATCTCCAGAGCCTCCTGGGTCAGGCTTGGCTTCCCCACCATGGGGACTGCCAAGGGTGGGACAGGCAGACAGGCTTAGCTTTTGTGAAGCTGGATTTGGGAGACAGAGGTGTGAATTGCTGCCTGTCCTCCCCTCCCTGAGATGCATCCTGGGGCCTGGAAAGGTACATTAGGAAAGAGAATGCTGCTATTATCAACCCCTGAGCGTCTGTGAACTGGCCCTCCAGAGCGCTAGGTGAGTGTTTCAACCAAAGTGCAGGGGTGGGATGGGAGAGGCGATGCCAGGTATCAAGATAGGCAGCCCCCAGTCCCACAGAACAAACAGTTACCCTGAGATTCAGAGAGAGCGAGGCAGGGCTGCCCAAGGTCACAGAGCAAGTGAGCAGGTAGCTCCAGGCCCCTCAGTCCCGCTGTCATCGCTCCAGCTTGGATCAGAGGGACTGTGGAGTCGTGGCCGAGTGGAATAAGCTGGGCCAAAGGACAGGAGTGGGCACAGAGGGCAATTCTAGGGAGAAGGGCACTAAGGGTTGCCAGTTACAGTAATGACAGTGTGATGAGAACACCCTGCAGTATCAGGGGGTGCTTTGCATACCCACTTCATCGTGGTTCTTTACACCACTGCTATGAGGTATAATGATCCCCATTTCCCATATGGGGGAAACAAACCCCCCATAGAGGCAGAGGGACTTGCCCAAGGTCACACAGCTTCAGGTCAGTATGATACCAAGTGACCCTTGTGTTGTGGTCCATGTTCTGGCATATTCTCTCAGCCCAGGGCAGCTCCCACCCACCCTGGGACCAGCTCCCAAGGCCAGCCAAAGACACTGTTCTACCAGGTACTTTTGATGTCCCTGTAACCAAAGGGCTCTAGCAACAGTATGTGCTGTTTTTCTGGTCCCTTAGTTTGTCACATCTTTGCTCCAGGAGAAGCTTTCCTGCCAAATCAAAGGGTAGGTTGGGGCACTGTCTTGGAGTCCCTAAGAGACAGCAACCAGTGACAGAAGACAGGTAGTCAAGACTCAGCAAGACTTCATTGGTCCCTCCCCTTCCTAGGGTGATGGCTGAAGCCCCAGGTAGGCCAGTCAAGCCCTGAACCCTCAGCTGGGCTGGTGACTCCCTAATTACCTACAGAGACCTAGATCCTGAGAGCAGGAAAGACCCGTCACTTAACAGATCATAGAAACAGTAAGGGCAATACTCAGACTCAGAGAGGGAAACCCTTCCCTAAGGCAGCACAGCTGGGAAGCCTTCCTGACTCCAGTCAGTGCTCCTCTGCCTCACTGTACATAGGTTTCCCTGGAAAGCTTGATGGTGCCTGATTGGCCCAAGTGCCACTAAGTGCAGCACGGCATCTGCCTTCCTGATGGAAAGGTAGAATTCTGGGCAGTGTGTTGGATGGTCAGAGGTGCCACAAGCATCCTGGCAGGCAGCTGAGTTCTTTCCATCTCAGCCCCAATGGACAAGTTTGAACCTGAGACCTGGCAGAAACCTGAACCTCTACTTCAGAGGGTCTAGCCAGCCCCATGGGCACCATACTCTAAACTGAACTTGACCTCAGCTGGGGCTGCAATCAGTTTATGCTTGGCAAAGAAAAAAATGTGACTTCCTATTTCTGAGCAGGACAGGACTTCGTTGACTTATAAAGCAGGCTCGGAAGTTGGACATCAAACAGATCGTGCAGAGCACTATTGGGATGAGATAAGTGTAAAAGAATTAGAAACACACAAGCCAAATTCCCCTCTGTTTGGGCAAAGTATGGCCTGAGATGTATGGCGAGCAAGCTCGAGGTTAATTAAAGATGAAGTATTTGGGGAAGCAGGCCAGGCACCTGACTGTGTGCCCAGATCTGTGCCAGGCACAGGGCCAAAAAGATGAATTAACGCAGCATGTAATTACTGCACACATGCAGTGCCAGCTCGCTGCACATGGAACGAGTGTAACCACCCCTGTTGGCTGAGAAAAACTCACTCACAAGATGGGACAAGCAGATGTGTCCTAGGTTACATTGTCTTGGTCCCTGGCTTCAGGCCGATTCAGTCCTCATCTTTCCAGATCCTCCTTTAGGCAGACTGAGGATTCCAATGTCTCCCTCACCCAAACATTCAAGGGTTTAAAGAAAGACAGATAAGCCAATGAATTAGGTAGACGTGTGCCGAGCAGAGAACCAGAGCCAATGTGGGTCAGACTTGCGGAGCCAAAGTTCACTGATCCCAAGGACAGCAAGCTAGCCAGAGTCTGACAGGAATTCAGCTTGCCGACTTTTGTCACAGGAAACCCGAGGCACCTACCAGGAATCCTCAGGGGGACATTAGGATCCTGTCATCCTGCGTCAGAGCACCTCCATTCCATAAGCAGCCTCTCAGGCCTGTGGAATGTTCTACCTGCCTCAGCTCATAAAATGCCCCCGTTCCTTTGAGAGCATGTGTATTTCTTAACACTTCCATATTTGACCTTGAGGCAGGCAGAAAAGACAGGAAGCCTGAGCCCCAGCATATTAAGTGGCATGCCTAAATGCAGGCAGCATGTGCCCCAGGTGGCCCAAGGTGCCCTCTCAGGAAAGCTGAGAGTAGGGCCAAACAGCTCTCCCGGGCCAGTCACAATGGCCTTGTCTCCTGCAACTGGTCTAATGTACCAGCAGCCAGTGAAAATAGGGCAAACCTCATTACCCACTGCACAGGCATAAGAATCAGGCTTCCCAGGAGTCACAAAGGGCAGCTGAGGACCCCTCCAATGCTGAAGGCCAAAGATCTAGAGTCCCTCTCCTGTCCTTTTTCTGAAAAACCTGGACTGCATTTCCTTCATGATGAATGGCTTCCCAACTTCACTGGGACTAAGGAAAGCTGAGGAATTCAGGCCACTCATCCCACCAGTCCAGCCTCCAGCCCAGCTCCATTGTCACAACAGGTCTCAAAGTGGAGCAAAAAGCCCTTCCCCTAAGAGGAAGCACCATGAAGGACAAGAGATGTTTTACCCATCTCTTGGGTAAAACAAGAGAAGTTGTGGCTTTCATGGTATCCTGCGCGGCACAGGACAGAATTGAGGTTGGTGATAGTTTTCCAGTGATGATGACAAGAACCTGAGTCCTCCACTGGCTGTTCTAGAGCCTCGTCGTGTGGCCCTATAGGCTTGCCACCCATGTCTCATCCTTCCCACCTTGTGCCTGACCAAAAGGAATCATAGTTGTCATTTCCAGACAGGACAGGATGTTTCATACATGCTGCTTCCTAGACAAAAGCTCTCTTTGTCTCCCTAACATCTTATCCTGTAAGGATCAACTCAGCACTTCCCCAGGAAGCCCCTGTGCTGCCTTTGTACTTTCTCAGCTGCTCATAATACTCACTGCCCACTTGATGACTGCCTATTTGTGAATCTGCTGCCCTGTAGGACTGCAGGTAACTTCATGGCAGAGGTCATGTGGATTTGTCTTTGTATCCTCACCTCACATAAAGATGGTGCTCAAAAGATGTGTAGAGAAGGAAAGAGAAAAGGAAGAAAGGCATGATGGTAGGAAAGGAGAGAGATAGATTTAGTTCTGCAGTGGAATAGCTTCCACCAAGCCCAAGCGGGTGGAAGATGGTGCCTAAACATGGGGCACTTTCTGTTGGTGAAGAGGTACTAGCAGGGCCAGGAGCCTACTGGCTGGACATGTGGTAGCAAATTGAAGTCTTGGCAAGGGACCGGTGTAGATGACATTGAGGGTGCCTCCTGGCTCTGTAATACTCAGGTTCTTTGAACATTGTTATTTTTTCAAAAATTCATCTAGGCAGCCAAAAACATCACCCCAGCTGGCTGTCTAAAGCAGTAGGGGTCAGGAATCAGTCCAGCTCCCCCTGCACCCCACCCTTATTCTTCCACAACCCAGCCAGACCTGCTGTGAGCTGGCAGAGCTGCCTGCTGGCCTGGGCAGGGGGACCACTGGGAGGTGGGAGAGTGCTTTCCTGGAGCCAAGATGCCGCCACAGCCCGAAGCTCCTCCTCTCTCTGTCCCCTGACTTTGGGGAGAGAAGAGAAAGCTCACAAAAACCTGATTAGGCCCTACCTGGTCCTTTCCATGGAGTGTCCCCTGTCCACACCCTTTCTTCAAAGGTGAACTGCACTGTTGCTCTCTAGAGATACTCTGGATACTTCATATTGATAGGTGACCTTGGGCAAGTCCCTGCCCCCTGAGAGCCCCCATTTCCTCATCTGTCACATGGAGACCTTGTCTTCTGGGGCTAGGAAGGAGGGTGCCGGGCATAGTGGAGAGGATCTGTGAAGGTGAAGTTCCAGCCCTCCCCTGGCTCAGGGTTAGACTTCCCCTCAGAACCACAGGCTGCCCTGAGGTGGGAGTCTCTGGCAGGGAGGAAGGATGACATGGCTCGCAAGCCCCTCCTTTCCAAGTCCCGCTGTGGGGAAAGTAAGCTTTGAGTGGACCCAAGTCTCAGATGTCTCCCACAAGCTGCCCAGACAAAGGGCTCTCAGAACTTTTGGGTCTCTGGTGGCTAGGATGGGTAGGTCAGCTCTTGGCCAAAGGAGGTGCAGCCCCTTCCTGAGGCTCGAGGTTGCTGACGGCCCCTGGCATGCTGCGCTGCTCCACACAAGCTTCTGCTCTCAATGTATCTGGAAGGTACTCATGGTGTTGTTCTTTAATCACCCCTCACCGCTGTGAATTGTCATGAAGAGTTCTTTAAGAGTATAATAGAAGACAAAGAAAGATGCTATTAATGTTATTTTGCCAAAAATATTTTTGTAGCATAATATATTAATAAAAGCCATTACAAACTGGACAGATTGGTGTTTCTGTGTGCTGCGGGCTCCTTCCTCCACTCACCCGGGTGTTTGGGAGCTGTCCTGCTGCAACGCCCATGGCAAGGGTTCCTGGAATGGGCCCGTTTTGCATGCACAGACTCACGCAGGGTCAGGAGGGTGGCTTGAGGGAGGCCTGATGGCTTGAAGGGCCTCACACCAAAGAGGCATGGGTAGCCCTTGCCACCCCATGGAGCTGTGCAAATGCGTTAAGGCAACTAGGACTTGGGATTCATTGTGGGGCCTCCTTTCACTCACTCCCTCACTCACCAAGGCCTGTGAGTGTTCCATAGCAATTCTACCCACCTCTGTCCACTCCATGGCTCCACCCTGGACCAGGCCATCATCAGACCACCGCCACTGACCCGTGTCCCTTCCAATCCACTCTCCCCCACTTGAAGTGAGCTTTACAGTCCACAAAAATGGTCACATCCCTCCCTGCTTTGAAAAACCCTCTATGCCTCCCAGTAGGATTGACAAAGCTCCCACAAAACCGTCTAGGACCTGGCCCCTGAGTGTGTGTCCAGCATCAAAGTCACCTCTCACCACTTCCTCTACCAGAACCCGATACTCCAGAGCTTCTTCCTGAACTCTCTAAGTGCACCCAACACGCCCATCCCTGTCCTGCTGCTCCCTGGCCCTGCCAGGCTCCTATACATCCTACATGACCCGGCCCCAGCAGTACCACCTCCATGAAACCTCCCACCTCCCCAGGCCCAGGTAGTCACCCCTACCTATCCCCACAGCACCATGCCTGTTGCAGACACCCGATCTGCATGCACCTGCCCTCTCCCTTGGCTTCGCTGGCCAGGACCAAGGCTATGTGTTTCTGTAGTGTCAGCCCAAGCACAGGGGCTGATATCTACTGTACAGACACTGTCCAGACTGGGCACGTGTGAAAGAATGATGAGTAAGTGAAGAAGAAAAGAAAGAGAAGCAAAGGTTTCAGACAAAACAGAGTCTATGTTTTATGTCACAGCACCGCATCCCTCAGCTGTTACCTCCGGGGGTCTACACAGGGTGTCCAAGTGCAAATTCTACCAGGAACAGTCCCTAGAATTGAGGGCAAGGGAGAGCAGGTCACTGAAAAGTTTGGAGTGGCAAGGTCTGTGTTTATAAAAGCCCAGAAGCTTTCACCAGCACAATTCACTGGCCATGATCAGTGAGTTCTGCAGAGTCCCACTAAGAGCAATAGGGACTGCGTGTGGTAGCCCCATTTCGACACAAAGGGTATTAGTAATACAACTGAAAGCTAATATTTGTTGAGCATTTATTATGTATCAGGCAGTGTTCCAACCATTTAATTCTTGAGTCATTTAATTCTCACAGCTGCTTATCCTTATCTCCATGTTACAGATGAAATAACTGAGATACAGCGAGATTAAGTAACTTGACTATGATCACACAGCTTATAAATTCTGGAACCAGGATAAGAACACAAGTAGTCAAGGGCCAAGCTGATTCCCTTTCTCATCAGCTTTTCTGTGCTGCCATGTGTGAACTGTGGCCTGTGAGTTGAGCAAAGAAGGTGTTGACACCCGCATTCCCAGGCCAGGCAGGCGAAGGCACGGCCCAAGTGAGGCCCAGCCTGGAGAGCCATGCCCAGAGCTTTGTCCCACCACACAACTGGATGCAGCTCTAGAGGAGAAGCCCTGCCTGCTCCCCACTGCACGAAGGTCTTCCAGGGTGACATCAATGGTGTGATGTTCTTGCAGTGGCCCAGCACAACCCCTCCACACCAGATGCTCCCCTGACACCCATCTGCCCAGGAGCTCAGGATAGAGTGACACCCAACCTTTCTTGGAGGCCATAGTCTCATGGTCAGGACTCCCTGGAGAAGGAGCTCTAGCTCAGGGATGGGATCTCAGACAGAACGGATGGGTGACTGAGGGGACAAGGGATGCCTCTAAGTCCATAACAACTGCTCTCCACATGACAGCAGGTGGCAAGAGAGGAACCCCAGTGTCTGCTTAATATCCCAGAGGGTTTGCATTTCTGCCCTGGAGCCTGCTCAGCCCCTCAGCCCTGCTCACAGCCAGTGCCTCCTGAAATAAGAAGAGGTCATTAGAGTTGGTCCCCGTGTCAACTCTGTAAATGGCTTCCAGCCCAGAGCTAGGAGGTCCACTCAGTGAAGAGGAAAGATGCCCATGGGGGAACCCCACCCCAGGCTGGCTAGCTATCTCAGTCAGTCTCTGTCTCTGACTCTTTCACTGGCTTCTCATTCCTTCTATGTCTTTACCCTTCTCCTTCACCTCTACATGTAGGGGCCTACAGTCTGTCCCTGCAAGGGCACTGCCAGTATCTACAGCAAACAGATTCCTGGAATGTGGACTGTGACCCCTGACCCCCAGTCCTCGTTGGGTCTTGACCTACTGTGTGGCCTTGGACAAGCTCTACCCCTCACTGGACTTTAGCTTCCTTATTCACATGAAAGAAAATAGGTACATTGTATGCACTAAGCTTTCTTTTAGCAAGAGCAACATCCTTGGAAAGTCATCTCCCAGGTTTAAGATCAGAAGGCAATCCAGCTTCTCCTATCTCCAAGGAGGTGGAAGGATGATATTCTGTATGACCAACAAGAGAAATTCTATCTTTTGCTCCTGGAAAGGAGAGCAGAGAAAGTTGTGATCATTAATCATGATGTCAGCTTGACTGTGTTAAGAAACTCCCAGGAGACTGGTAAGGAACACTTCTGGGTGAACTCGGGTGGGTGGTGGAGATGCAACCTTGGGTACTACATGTGCTCCCTGGCCCCTTCTTCTGGCTGTTGTTCCCCTGCTCTGCTTCCCAGTTGCCATGAACTAAACATCGTTGCTCTGCTTTGCTTCTGCCCTGGAGACAGCTGACCATGAACTAAATCCCCTGTAACTGTGAGCCCAATTGAACATTTCCTCTTTTAAATTATGGGTGTTGGGTACTATGTCCCAATAACAGGAAAGTGGCGAATGAGAAAATGGACTTGAGAGGCAGAAGGAAGAGAAGAGCCAGCTTTCTGTTACTATCACAAATTAGTGAGATAGATCAGCTTATAAAGAGCAAAAGTTAATATGGCTCAGATTTGGAGGTTTCAGTCCATTATTGATTTAAGGCTTTGGACTTATGCATTCAGTCCATCCCACTGCTTTGGGGCAGAGCACAGCCACTCACTTTATGTCTAGGAAACAAGAGAGAAAGGGGAGGGGCCCAGATTCCACAGTCCCCTTTGAGGGCACACCCCAGTAACCTCCCATCTGGCCTGCTTCTTAAAGTTTCCCCACCTCCAAATATCACAGTGCTGAGGATCAAGTTTTTAACATGTGGGTCACTTAAGATCCAAACTATAGGCCAGACTCAGTGGTACATGCCTGTAGCCCCAGCACTCCAGAAGGTTAAAGCAGGAGGGTTGCAAGTTTGGGCCCACCTTGGGCAATTTAGCAACTTAAGGAGATCCTGTCTCAAAATTGAAAAGGGCTGGGGATGCAGCTCAGAGAAAGCCCTGGTTTAATCCCCAGTCCTGAAAAAAATAAAATCCAAACTTTAGCAAGAAGTGAGGCGCTGGGAAGAGAGAATGAAACTGAGGGAGGTAGAACAGCCTCTCCTCTGTGGAAGAAAACCTGGGAGTAGTGATTTCCACAACTCAGCCATAAGAACCCCAAGGCCACCTGCCCTGCTAGTCTCCAGCAGTCTCCATGCTGGTGAAGAGCTGGGAACGGGGACTAGAGAGGGGGCTCATTTTCATGTCTAAGTGGGCACAGGCAGGCAGAGACCACAAACTCAGTGATGGCGTTGGAGGCCAAGGTTATTGTGCATGAGACCCCAGGCGATTCACAAACCCTGGGAGGCCTTTGGGTCCCAGCCAAGGAGTTGGTATCCAAGTCGACCTTAGCCAGATACTTCAGAGTGGGAAGCCCTGGGTACATCTGGGCTATGGATAGACGGGAACAATAAATTCAGATCTTCCAACTGGGCTAGCGGATGGGAGCTCCAGGGCTCTCTGAGCCAGGCAGGAAACCCTCCCACCTCACCGCCTTCCAGGGCCACCACAGCGGGACAGAAATTAAACCAGACGGGACCAGGCCTCGTGGGCGTGCATGGGCATGGGCTCCAGCTGCTGCTCACTCAGCCAGTGAGCCAAGGCAGCAGGGCTGGCCACCGTTATGGCATCATAAAACAAAATCATTTTCAGAGAGTTTTCATAAAATCCCTTTTTATGTCAGTTGGTTCTGCCTTTGCAAAAACAGTTCGTCTGTTTCCTTTTTTCTTATTTTCCATTTCTCCCTGATCAGTCACAAAAAGAAAGGGATAAAATGTTCAACCTGAAGATCCACATTCCAGACAAGAAAGGGCTGAAACTTACAGCTCCTCAGACGCTTTTATTCACCTCTTCCCAAGGGACTCTGGGACCAGGGAACTCAGGGACCTGGGGACTCAGGGAAGGTGGGAGGGGTCAGCAAGATGGTGACTAAGGGGTACAAGAAGAGGAACACAGGAGGGGATAAGGAAGGAGGAAGAAAGCTGCGTGGTAAGATGGATGGAGGGGAGTCAGGACAGAGCTGAAGGGACCAAGAGAGACAGAGGGGAACAGAGGGAGGCAGTCAGAATGGGCCTGGGGATGGTGGGGCAGAAAATCACAGATGAGAGAGGGTTGAATGGAGACAGAAAACACTGCAGTCAGAACACAGAAGGATCTCTGGGAATGTGGAGGCCTCACCTTGAATTCCCAGCATATCCTAGGCCAAGGTTGATGTACGCTGCCTCCTCCTCCAGGGGGACTTGGAAACAAGTAGCTTCCAGGACTTCCCCAAGTTCAGTAGGGCAGCCCCTCACCCTTGGGCCCCCTTCCAAGGATCTTCCAGGCTCAGTTGGGGTCTTGGGCTGTTCATAGGAAGCCCTGGGGCCTTCCCTGGACTTCCCCCAGTGGTCCCTTTCCCCCTCTCAGCTTCATTTTCCTCTTTGTAGTGAGGATAATACAGAACTTCTGGCACAGGTT